CCCTGGTTGTCTGGAAGAATCGGCACGCTATTCTATAATCAGATGGAGCAGTAAGTAACGGCACGTGGAATCATCGGCGTGAAGATACCATATGTGTACAAGTCTTTGACATCCTCTTTAGTCACATGCGCGGACCTGCTGCGCAGTGGTTATCGGTCAATCGAGCCGACATCACCTCGATCGACAATTTCTTCACCGATTCGGACCGTACATTATTTCTGGCCGACCTTCAGCAGCGTCTACGGGACGACCTGCATTTGATATAGCAATCAGCGTCTAGCAACTTGGCCTACTATGATGCTCTCTTCGGTCAGGTTGTTGTACAATTCACTGGCATGAGTGAGATCGATAAAACCATTGTATGTCAGTGCGGATTCAAGGTACCATCCGTCAAGATGTGGAGTATCGACGCTGTTCCTTACTGACTCAGGCAATCACGATGGCGATGAATTATGAATTTTTGCACTCAGGACGACGACATGAGTCCCAAAGTTCACGAGGTCGTACAGCTCAACCATTTTTGTCTTCACTACCAGGTTATTTTTAGCCGGATCCAATGGAGATCGATAATGCTCGACCGTTCCGCTCCCGCGGCGACTTCAACTAAATCAACAAAGGCGATCACAGTGATTCTGTCGCTACTGCAAAAGAAAGGGCGTGTCGTCGAGCAATGCTCTAAAACAGAACCACCACAATGTAGATCCACGTCACATGCGTCGCGACAACATTAGTCAAGAGCGAGATGCTGTCAATTTTTTGACGAAGTTGAATCAAAGAGTAGATAAGTTTCTGGGATTTTCCATGAAGTAATTGCCCACGTTAAAGACGAAAAAGTCGACAAGAATCTATAAAGAAATTTAATAATCAAAAGAGGTACGTGCGACAGAGAAACTGCACAGGAGCAACATGTAACGTAGTCTAACTGGGGTTGTTGATGCTTGTCAGGTCAGAATAATTTAGTGCAAGTTTTCATTTTGATGGATCCAACACCACAAAGGGAACGTTCAACGAAATCTTCGCTGTGATTGACTTTTGAGGACGTGTCTTTTGCAACGTTAGAGTCCTCGAGTGGCCAATAAATAGCAAGTATGATGTAATTTTGGGTAAGCCCTGGTTTGTTAGTCACAAACTATCATTAACTGGCACGCACATGATTTCGAGTCTTCATCTCCTCGACCGTTAAAGACAGAGGCCAAGAAGATTTCCTTTTGAGGTGCGGATTTTGAAAAAGTTTATTGCGTCAAGATATAGCAAGTCTTAAAGCCTCGGCCATTACAGATCCAAGAGTGCTGGATATCGTGAAAGCTTACTCAGACGTGCTACCGGAGATTCTACCGAACGAGCTTCCACCTCATCGGCGTGTCGAGTTTGTGATGACAAAAAAACCAAACGCCATTCCGAGCACTCGTCTGCCATATCGATTTTCGCACGCAGAAAAAGAGGCAATCCGCTTGTCCGTCTAAGTAAAGCTGCGACAGGCTGGATTGAAGGTTCAGACCCTTTGTGGGTGCCGATCAATTTCGGCATTTTCAAAAAGAATCCCTCAGCTCGAACCGCGTTGTCTTGTGTAGAATGGATTTGTCCGGGTAATGCGACAGTTCCTATTCTGTGGGACATTGAGCATCGCCATGTCAATTATCTAACTGCTGTGCCTAAATTTTAACTTCCTTGCATCGACGGGCTGTTTTATCAGATGCAAGGCATGCAAATTTTTACCGTCATCGACCTAGCACAAGGGTACTACTAGATGTTATACGGACGCAAAATGTACACGGCCTTATGCTCAATTGACGAAAAGTATCAGTGGTGTGTCGCGCTTACAGGTTGATCTAGAATGCCTGGTGTTTGGTCGCGCTTGATGAGGGTTACGTTCGGTACATATCCTTTACTTGTGGTGTACTTGGACGACATCTGTGTTTTTCAAATTTATGGATGAGCATATTCATAACCTTGAGGTATTGTTCTGAATTGTTCTCACAGAAATGGAGTTTGCTCAACGAGACAAATGCAAGTTTAGCCTGCGTGAGATGAGTTTTTTTTGGCCACATGGTTTCACATCACGGCCTTTTGGTCGACAAGTCCAAGACATCCGCAATCGCAAACTGTTCTTCCCCCACTGATGTGAAGGAGCTGCAGATTTGTTTTCGGTCTATCCGGGTATTTCCGCCTATTCATATTCAAATTGGCTCCCATAGTTCTTCCCTAAATTGTCTCGAAGAAAAAATCGCCTTGGACTTGGAGTGTTGATCACGACACCGCATTTTACCGCCTCAGACAAGTATTGCAGCGTGCTACATTTCCTAGGCTGAACGATTTATCGTGGCCAATTTTGCTAACCACGTACGCGTCGGGTTCCTGTGTGGGTGAGTTTCTTTCCCAATTTTACGAGCGTGATGATCATACACTTGCATTCTATTCGAAAAAGCTTGGCGTTCATTAATCACTTGGATAACACACAAAAAAGAGCTCTTCGCGATTAAATTGGGTCTGGATAAGTGGCGACACTATATCTATGGTCGGTACTTTAATCATTCTACCGACAATAGCGCGTGCTCCTGTTTTGTGCATCATCCAAATGAATTCTCCAAGCTCGCTCGGTATTTGACAATTATTATCCAATTTAATTTTACTATCCACCATGTCACGGGCACCTTAAACGTCGTTGCCGATGCTCTCTCGCGCTGACCTGGTGATGAGGATCCGCAGAGTGCTCAAAATTACATGGCAAATTTTTGAAAAACAAGCATCCTTTATTACGTCTTTACGCCGAAAGATGTGTTTGCCATTGTGTTTAGGCGTACCACAAAGCACTGTTTACTGGTAAAGAAAGCGTACACCATTCATATAAGTGCTTTCGGTACATAAGAGGGACAAGCAGAGCCCCGCAGTATTGCTGGAGTTCAAAATCAAAGCTCCAAATGGCTACGAAAGTTGCGATTGTAAGTGGCAAGGGGCATGGCTAGTTGACACGAGGCTCTGACATCTTGTTAAATTATACAACGGCCGAGCCGATCAGGCGTTTCAAAGATTTAGAAGGACGACCTTAACTTCGGTGAGAGAGCTTTACCTGCAATTGATCAGTGGTCATATTGTTAATGTGCATTTGAGCTTGAGATATGCACATGAGCACTGAGATAATTGACTAGTGTCAGCAGAAGCTAAATACTAGAGTGCATGTATCCTGTTCGTCTTCCCGACTGCGAAACTGGATGAGTTCCGTTACCGGAAAACAGTGGAGGGGCGAGCTTTAAGACCATAGCTGATCATCCCCGCTACACCTCGCTGTGTCCGGTATGGGTCACTACGTGCACGGGCCTCGCTTGAAGGTAAGAGTAGAGGCCATAATGTCAAGCTAATGCACAGATACAAAAGCGATGCTACAGTGGCTTAAGGCGATGACTGTGATAAAGGTGGTCTGAGAGCTTGGTTCTGGTGTCGAATTTATCTGCGTTGGTTAATTTTCCCTGAAGGTAATTAAAACACCCCGATTAATTATGTAAATAAAAAATGCCCCAGATAATCAGATAATAAACATGATTCCTCAGAATTTAAGAAAATAAAAAAATGCACCACGTCCTCGTATACTTAAGTTTACGTGATACACATAAACAGAAATTGTGCTTCAGTGAAGAGCCTAACCTTGTACGGATACCATCCGTACGCTATATGCTGAAACTTCTAATTTTCTAAAACAGATGAGCAGTTAATTACGGTCACGCGTATTTTAAATGTGACAAGGATGTATGCTATGCCCGACAACCAACGCTGCACTATGTCTGTAAATATTTGCAACGTGCAAAACGGAGCAAACTAGGTGCCGTAGAGAAAACCTAGGCCAAATTTAGCGAGTGTGTAGGTCCTAAATATTCAGGAGCGCCACTAATTACTATTATATCACCAAACAAGTTGAAGAATTTTGATTAAGAGAAAATCAAACAACGCATCTAGTGGTGTGGCACCAGATATTATCATTATAGAGTCGCAAACGAAGTGCTGGCGAAGACAGTTCGACAAAAAAATTGAATACGCATTGTACCTTCAAGAACTAAATGTGCTCATTTCTTAATATTATAGTGCGTATGTTGGAGTAGATTTATAGTCTGATCAAATCAAATGTATTGTGTGTGCTGTCATTATCTCTTGAGCTCTTCACATCCAGCGTGTCGTCCTTGGAGTTTTAATAATATTAACAATACTGACTAATTCCTGTAACAGCACTAACACGTCGCCATCAGTACGGTAAAGCCTTTTCTAAGCACAAATGAAAGTCTTAGAATGATACGTGATAGTCTTTTACATTATCAGCTAAGCTTAAGTAGCTATAGCGGACGAGAAGGAAACTTATTCCTATCACGCAACTAAACATAGACAACAGTAGCACTGTAGTACCAATAACACCACAAAACAGTACTAACACCACGAGCACTAACGGCAGTATCAACAACAATGACATCGGCAGCACCAACACCAACTTTAGCAGCAGCGGTATTAATAGCAACAGGAACACATAATTACTTACATTAGTAACAACAACGGATACAGCCATAGTGGTAGCAGCAACAACGACGCCAGCAGCAACGAGACCAACAATAAAACAGCAGCAGCTGAATCAAACATCATAAATTAAGATATATGAAATAAGAACAACTAATAACAAAAACAAAAACGACGGCAAAATAACACTGTTATTTTAACAGCAACAATAGTCGACACGTACTGCTGCTGTCGGAAGGAGGAGAGTTTTTGTACGCACTGCGTCGTTGCATAACGAATGACAAACGATGGCTCGCAGGATGTGAAGAGTCGCTTGAAGCTGCCAATGAAATTTGCACAAGTTTGCGCAGTAGTTAGCGTAAGCACGATGGTAATACACAGTCCGCAAAACAACCACATCCGCGCACTTGTCTCTTAAACGCATACTGATGTAAAGTAAGCAGATTATGACCCCCAGTAAGGTAGAAAATTTTGCGAACTCCGTCTTACGCGCTGCGACAGCATCGATGGTGAGGCGTCGCGAAACGCAACATGCCGCGCATACACCGCCAGCTGGGTCAAGCGACCACAGCGGCGAAGGCACGCGGCCGGAGCTTGCTCTCGTGATGGAGCAACAGGCGCCAATGGTCATGCGGCTCAAGGAGCATATCGAGAAAGGCTCGAGCTACCACGACCAACAGGTGACACGTTTGGGCGGGTCGACACGATGAGATCAAGAGCAATTGTCCCGGCGCTGAGACCAACGTCAAAGTTCCGATCACCGTCTATGCGGATGACACACGTGCGTCCGATGGAGGTAGATGACCAACACGACATGTTTGGTACGGAGTATCGAGTGCGCGACGTGAGCTTGAGGACAAAACGTCGAGCGCTGCGACAAAAGCAGCAGCAACACTGCCCGGAAATCGCCGCAGCACGCGAGGGTCTGTGAGCGGAAGCAAAAGCTGAAGGCATGCAGCTGAGATCGGTTGCGGAAGCGCACGAGGTGTGACGAGCGGAGGAGCATGCCGCATTACAAACAGCGCAAAGACAACTACAGCAAGCTGGACACCAACTGCAGCAAGCTGGACACCAACTGCAAAGTGAAGCCTAACTTCACAGACGACAGCAGAGGCACTGTCAGCGCAAGTAGAAGCGCAGCGTCGAGAGCTCGCGCAATTTGAAGCGCGAGTGAGACAAGAACGAGAGGAACTGGCATTGCAGCACGCGCGGCAGGCTCAAGCAGTTCACGAGAGAGATCAGGGGTCTCTTCCGACGAAAGCAGGAAGTCGCGAACGAACAGGATCTTCAGCAACAGAGACAAGCGGCGCTCAGCGTACAAGTGAAAACTGCAAAAGACGCGCACAGCGCTCGCGAAGCAGAGATTATAAAAGAAGCCTGACGAGTGTCAGCTGTGCAACGAGCTCGGGAAGAGCGGATCAAAGATGAAGCACGACGCGTCGGCGAGCATCAGGCAAACTCTGGGTGAGCGTGGCAGCAAGTCCAACTCAACTCAGCTTAAGTCGAGAATCGCTTACATGAAGCCAAAATACGGGGCTATGCGCGAGCGACGAGGGAAGCAGCTGCACATGCAGCGGTAGCGACTTTGAGTGAAGCACCGAGGTAGGAGAATCTGCAGCTGTCGACGGCGATCACAGCGATCGCACAGACGGCCGTGAAGACGAAGATCCTTCACGCGAAAGCCTCGAAGCTGACTCGGTCGCTGGCTTGCGCCCGCCGAATAACGAAGCGTGGTTAAGTTATTCGGCGGGCGCAAGCCAGCGACCGAGTCGAGGCACAGCCACTATCTGTACTTGATGGCTGTCAGGAACGCGACAGGAGCATCTTTATCGCTCGTTTTAAAACAGTCTCGTAATGCACGCGAGTCCAGGATTGCGGTCGTGCTCGCGAGCCAGTATGATCTAAAGAGGTCGGAAAAGGTCGTGCATGTGTTAGAGATTGCGCTCTGGGCACAGACGTACGAAGAGAATGATAATCATGCGGCAAGTCAAGTGAAAACTTCAGTAGCGGTGGGCGTGACGGCAAACGCTACCACAGACACGAGGATCTGTAAGATATGCAGTGTCGTCAGCCACATCGCTCGTACCTGACCGACGAAAGCGAAGGACAAAAACGATGATGGTGAAATGCGATGGGGGTTCTCTGGGCCGGTTTACATTAGCTATACCAACGACGACTGCATCATCGATTTCGGCGCTAGCGCACATCTCGTCAAAAACAGCTCCATGCTGTACGACTGGAACGTTTTCGATGACTTACACGGCGTCAATCTCCCTGACAAGAGCCAGTTGCATGTGACACGCAAAGTCAAAGCGAAGATCAAGGTGAACGTGGATGACGACGTGTCCTAAATCGAGCTACAGAACGTGTGCTTTGCAACGAAGCTCACGATCAATCTTATGTCGCTAGGAACTTTGTTGTTGCAAGGGTATTATTTTGGGAGTGCCCGCAACAAGCACGCGATCGTGCACGGGAGCAGCGCCGTGATTAACGTGCACATCAAGCTCGATGTGCTGGTGGTTGATAGCGGCATCGAGAAGGAGAAACTGCATGGCTTGATTGAAGTGATCCTGAAGGCGATCGACGAGTCGGAGCCGCCGGACATCACGCTGCAGTTATCCGCTTTGGTTTTGTTCCATCGCCGGTTCGAACACTTAAACTACGACGACGTCGCATGCTTCTCCGCCAAACGCGCCAAAGGCATTGAGCTCACCGATCATGTCCGTGAGAAGTGCATCGCATGCACAGAGGGTAAGTAGACGAAAATCTCGCAACCAAAGAAAGACAGCGGCCACAATGCACCATTGGTGCATTATGGCCGCTGTCTTTCTTCGGTTCCCAATCGACGTCGTAGGTGGTGTCATTTGCTGTGATCTTAAAGGTCCAATTGTGTTAATGGACAAGCGAAAAAACCGGTAATTGATAATCATTGTGGATCACAAATCGAAACACGCTTGAGCGTTCGTCACCAAGACGAAGGACCAGGCAGCAAAGCAGTTCCAACACTTCGTGAAGTTCTTCGAGATGCAGTTTAATGTACGCGTACACATCCTGAGGACGGAAGGAGAAGGCGAGTATTGCAACATTGACCTCTACTGCCAGCATACCGGCATTGGACGTCAGACGACAGAGAGAAACTCGTCTCCTTTTAATGGTAAAGCAGAGAGTATGCACAGGACCGTGATGAATTTAGTACCGGCATGCTCTTGGGGTGGGGGTTGCCGCTTAAGTACTGGGGCTACGCCGCCGAGGACGCCGCGTAAGTTTTAAACCAGACGCCGAATCGAGCCAACGCCGGGCGAAAGTCGTCAATGGAGGTGCTCACGAAGAAGTCAGTGAGCGTTGCAGATGTTGTTGCGTTCGGATCTCCGTGTCGCGTTTACACGTCACCAGCGAACGCGTCGCTGGGCAAAAGAGGGACTGAAGCAGTGATTGTGGGGACAATCGACGAAACAAAAGGATACAAAGTGTTGATTCCAAGCAAAAAGGTCGTTGCTACCACAAGACACGTCAAAAATATCGAGACGCACTTCTGAGCCGAACAAGCAACTGCTTCGAGTACTTGAGTCCGAGGAAGGTGACGAGCTCGAGGCACTTACACGTGAGAGGGAACAAGAGCGCGGCCGCGAGAGCCTACTCGAGGCGACGCGAGCACTCCAAGAGCCAGTGCTACGTCAGCGTCCACGTCAACACGTCCGACGTCGAAGACGCAAAACGAAAGTAAACGACGGAAGGAGCTTGCCCACACCTATGTCGGAGACTCAGCAAAAGACAGCGCACCGTCAAAAAGGCTAGTACGTGATCGCGACGCGAGCGTCACGCAAGCTGATGCGAAGTCCAGCAAACCTAAACGTCAGGCGCACGCTAAACCAAGGTCAGCCGTACAAGCCAACCGGGCAGTGCTCCCCGACGATACACAAGAAGATGTTTCGTAAGACAAGAGCGGGGCCGAGGTGCTACCAAAGAGTTAGCACGAGTACGCAAGAAATCAGTCAAGCAGCGTGAAGCTGACGATGCAACCGCTTCAATACCCAGCAACGCACCGAAGCAACGAGCGCACGTGATAATCGCAGCGTCAATGCTCGCGCTGCTAGTGATGACGACGTTAAGGGCAGGGGAGGAGTATGCGGCGTTACCCGACCCAAAGTCTTATCGAGCGGTGATCAAATCGCCTGATGTGCACCTATGGAAAGTGGCGTGCACAGAAGATATTGTGTCACTTGCGGCAAACAACACGTGGGAATTAGTCGCAAAGCAGAAACACATGCACCTACTGCGTTCGAAGTGGGTAATGCGAAAGAAGAAGGACGGCAACGGAGCCATCGAGCTTTACAAATTGTGGATTTTTGCCGGCGGCGATGAGCAAGTACTTGGTCGTGACTACAACCTCCTGCTCGGCCATCCTCGACATCACCACGGGGAAGGTGATCCTGGCAGTTGCTCGCGCGTAAGGTGTCTGCGCAAGGCACTATGACGTCCCTTCGGCTTACTTGAAAGCCTACAAAGAAGATGACGTTGAGATCTGAGAGTACCAGAGGGCATGCAACTAATCGGCGAAGAGCTCGCGCGTTTCGACGCTCAGAAAAGCGGAGACGTGTGCTTGCGCCTGATCAAGTCGCTTTACGGCTTAAAGCAAACCAGCCGGTTGTGGAATCAACTGCTTCACAAGACGTTAGCGGACATCGGAGACGAGCAGTCGATGAACCATTCATACGTGTACTTCAAGACAAATAACGAAGGTACAGTGATATTGGGGACATACGGGGATGACTTGTTAGCGGCTGCGACGAGCGACAAGCTGCTAGACGACTTCAGCACTACGATGAAGTCGCTCGAGCTCAAGTGCCTGGGACCCGCTAAACACTTCCTAGGAATGTGGATCAGCTACATAGCCGATGCCGGGTAAGTGATCGATCAGGACCAGACCGGTGATGAACTGCTCTAAAAACACGGCGTGGAATCGTCCAGCGCTGTTCGAGCACCGATCGCCGACGAGTCGTCGCTCCAGTCGGAGAGCACAAGCGCACGATCGCTGCCTTCCACAAGATCGGGCAGCGCGGAACAACCGACCGTGCAGTGATTCCAGTCGCGTGTAGGCAATCTCCTCTGCATTGAGCAATACAGTTGACCTTACATCGCGTATGCGGTACACAAAGCGGCACGTCAAAGCCACGCGCCAACAGACCACGACCTAAAATTTGCAATGCGAATTCTGCCTTATCTTTACGGGATAGCGGGCTTAAAGCTGACGATGGGAGGAGATGTGACGATAAACAACACGCTCGTGAAGACAGGAGGAACTGTGACGACGAACGGCGTGCGGGTGTCGTGCTATACGGACGCGGATTACGCTGCCAACAAAGCGACGCGCAAGTCGATCAGTAGCGCGATCGTGATCGTGGGTGGCATGCCTGTGGCGTGGCAAGTGAAGCAGCAATCGTCCTTGGTGCTGTCCACTGCCAAGGCCGAATTCGTGGCGGCCGCTGTTGGTGTCAATGAGCTGCTTGGCGTGCGCAACCTTTTGGAAGAGGTTGGCGTGCAGTTCGAGCTGCCAATGAAGGCTCTAGCGACAACCAAGCTGCAATCAAGCAACTGGCGAACGAGCAAAAACACGTCGATGTCAAGGTCAAGTTCGTGCGAGACGTAGTTGAGAAGGGAATGGTGAGTGCAGAGTACGTACCGACGGACGCGAGGTTGGCTAACGTGCTCACGAAGATCTTGTCGGCGCCGCGGATGCTGACTCTTCAAGAGAAGATTGGGCTGGTGTAAAACCGACGCAGCGGAAGAAGTGTTGGAAGGAAGAGAGTGCTTTTACTGCGTCGTTGGATTACGGGTGACAGACCGTGGGTCGCAGGATGCGAATAGTCGGTTGAAGCTGCCAGTTAAATTTGCACAAGTGGGCGCAGTAGTTAGCGTGAGCACGATGGTAATACACAGTCTGCAAAACAACCACATCCGCGCACTTGTCTCTTACACGCATGCTGATGCAAAATCAACAGCTGCAGCCGATTATACATATGCATGTTCACATCAATTTGTGCCGTCTGCACCTGCAACTGGTGGCTGCGAGCGAAACACGCCTGCAACGGAACCCCCTACGCGGCCCCGCCTTCAGGGCGGGGTTTGAGCACAGCCATGCTAAGAAAGTGATAAGTGATGAACGATTGGAATTGTAATGTGTACCACATTAACAAAAGTTAATGAGGACGTGGCAAAATTTTAAATTAATTCTATTTATCTGGTACATTTTAATTCTTCAATTATCCAGCACTTATTTATTTTTCGAGTATCTGGTACAAATACATAATTTTGGTGATAAACTGGGGCGTTTTTTTACTTTTCCTCATTTCACGCCGTTGTGGCAAATGTACACCATGCGCAAAGAAGAGACATCTCGCGAACGAATATTACCAGGGGTGTCTTAAATGAGGTATTTGAGGAATGCAGCGATAAGTAGACCACAAAACCTTATTTGCGAAGGTCCATCACGGAGGTCCTCACTATGTGTGGCCTCTACTAAGTGACGTATGTGATGAGCGTGAGCAAGTGCATCAGAGAAGATGAGATGATTCTCTTTCATTATCCGTCTGGTCCGCAGTGATGTGCTGACTGCAGGCAAGTACTTGATAATCAGCCGGATGCGCACCTACACGCTGAAAACTTCACCAAGTTGCTTCGCCGAGTACACCAGCTCCCAGACATTATAATACGAAACCAAATCCCGCTGCTCACGGCATGCCCTGCAGACATTAGAGGATATCAAAGAAGAGCTGGCGTTTTGGGTGCAGGTTATGCCGCAAGTAGCGCTTTTGTACATTAATTTAACTCTGCGTTCAGCATCACCATTCTAGTACGGTTAAGCACTGATGTGTGGACTTGCGCACTAAGTCTTGTGCTGGCGCCCATAAGGTGTCACCTTGAAGTGCGTAGGCGCATTGCTGGGCGTGTATTTCATATCACTCGTATAAATACAAACGTTTTGTTTGAGCTTTGTAAAGTGTGTACTGTTATCAATTCCACTTAAAATCTTTTCAAACAGATAGCAGAACATGACATTCACATGGACACGTCACTATTTGTCGACGATTTCTTTAAAATAGGGTATTGTTGATTACATTCCTTTATTTGCTAAATACACCCCATCTTACACACCCATACCACACCACAAAATGGTTCGTACGACTAACATCGTACCACCATACCTCTGTACGACCACTATCGCACAGCAATCTGCCTCAATAGTACAAGCGTCAAATGATTTACCGAAGCAAATTTAGCTGGCTTGCAATCGACACCTGAAGCTCTTTTCTTTCGTAAACGACTTGACCGACGCCACGACACACTCATTCTACACCCCAATTTTTTTATCTAAAACACTCAGGCATCACACCCATACCAAACCACAATACGGTCCGTATGACAAATATTGCGCCACCATACCTCTGTACACTGTGCGACCGCTATTGCACAACGATCAGCATCCACCTATCAAGCAATCCTTCTTTTACAGGCAAGGGGCCGGTCCTGACGCAGTATCAGGATAGGCTCAATCAAAAATACAATTATCTGTAACACAATTTCTTAATCAAGAGATGATCTTCGCTGCAATGATGCATCCGATTACATTTGTATAACGTTAACCTTTGTTTCAATCATAATTTTGTACCTTTCCCGACTGAAACCTGGCTGTTGCAATTTTGAACGATACAAATAGCGCCCCGGACGTATTTAACATATAGTGATGAGTGCGCGTTGATCAAATCGGTTACGAAGGCAAAGATCTTAAGTCATCTATTTTGTGCCGAACGCAGGTTGCTTGGTAAATAATCTAACACTTGTACGCTTGAGACAGAACGATGTGCGATAGTAATTGTAAAGAGGTATTGTGGCGCGATGTTTGTCGTACCAACCATTTTGTGGTGTGATATGGGTGTGGCGTACGGGATGTATTTAGTATAAAGTGGGGCGTATTTAACAATGCCCTAAGAATATGACAAACGTGGACAAAAATGAGGGTGTCAAGACGAAAAGCAGCATCGATGAAGATTTTTGTCATGATCATTCGTTCATTTCATGGTACCAAAACGAAACTGAAGATATGTATTGAGTTGCCCCACGCCTAACATAGCCTGATGGTCGATGGTCACGTCCAGCCAGTTTGAATGAATTTTAAACTAAAATCATAAAGTGAACAAAACAAATGAATCCATGGCGACTTGAACCAGAAAATGATCGGGAAACATCTATTTCACTTCTCTCTTTGCCTGTACCGTCGCAACAAGACGAGATGGAAAGCGAGAAGATCAAGATGTTGCGTGGAGAACTTTACTATTCCATGGACCCCGCACTGTTCAAGGATCGTCAAGACGCGCGCAAATTGCTGAAACAGTACAACGAATTGGACGGCGCCGAGACCCCTCAAGCTCAAGCGATCCTGTCGAGTTTACTGGACGCTAAGGGTCAAGACTGCTTTGTCGAAATGCCGTTCCGCTGTGATTATGGATACAACATCCGGCTGGGAGACCGCGTCTACATGAATTTCAACTGCGTATTATTGGACGTGTGCGAGATCACCATTGGCAACAGGGTTATGTTTGGGCCAAATGTACAGCTTTATACAGCAACACACCCGCTAGGGCCGAAAGCGCGAGCATCTGGATACGAGCTGGGCAAGCCAATTACCATTGAAGATGACGTGTGGATCGGTGGTAATGTCGTGGTCGTCCCTGGCGTTAGGATCGGTCGGGGTGCGGTCATTGGAGCAGGTAGTGTTGTGACCAAGAATGTGCCCCTGATGTGTGTGTACGCTGGGAAACCAGCCAAATTCGTCAAGAAAATTGAAGAAGAGTGAAGGCAGAGCATCTCTGCATTGTACTAGATGGTCCAAAGCGATGGTACTGTGCTTTTTTTCGTGTTATCTTAGAAATGCAGAAGTTGTCCGGTGAACAGTGTTGTGAAGTATTTAGTGCTAACCACTATTTCTTGCTGAGAATTGTAAATAGCTCTAGAATTTTCTCTAAAACCGCAATCAACATACATCGCGTGGTTCTATTTGCACGTACTCAATGCCATGATATGCAATCAACATACATCGCGTGATTCTATTTGCACGTACTCAATGCCATGATTTCTTTTGTGATTTTGGGCGCTCCATAGCGGCACTAAGAAAGGTCAACGTCAGATATGCTGCACAAATTAGCCAGCAGATCACTACAGCAGCCCTGTATGAAAGCTGACACAATGCATGCAATCTCTTATTACCATATGATCAGATGCATTTACTAGCGACTACCATAGTACGTCCAACAATTCGTAAAATCGATAACCCCCGTGAACTACATCGCGTCCTTATGTTTTTTAATATATTCTTGCAAACGTCAAGATATGCACCATGTGCCACAGCAAATTTGTATGCCGCAACTTTCCACACGACATTTGTCTTCATGCGACTACTGTAACGGTGTGAGCCTGTTCGATGAGATTGAAATGGGCCCAAACGTCAACGTGATTGTGATCCTAGCGAAAAGGTTTCCAACCACGTTACAATGCGATCTAATATTGAGGGAATAATTGCACGCTCGGAGAGAGAAGCTAAATGTGACTGTGCGCTAAGTGTGTGCCAAACCTTCAAAACCCTACTTTTATGTTTGTCTCCCTGTATACAACGCTAGGTGTGTTGAAAAAAGACCTGAAGTAAGGGGGGGGCTTGCGCTGTAATTGCTCTCTTTCTTGCTGATTTTTTTGCCTTGTTCGATCCTACACGTACCTGATCAGGTACGTAGCTGTCTCCACATTAAATCATGTATCTTCTGGACATGTGAACCGTGTATCATCCTAGCTCTCTGTTTAACAAGCTGTACTTTGCACGTTGTACAAAGTGTGATGTTTGGCCATTCCTCTCGTCATAGGTAGATATGCCTTCAAGGTGTCATTCTCTGATCAGGATAATGATTGCGACCACGTAGAGAGCGTATGTCACGTACGTACTTATGCCCGCACATGACTAGTATGAAAAATCGCCAAGGGCGATCAGAGAAACAATTCGCTAACGTTCGAGTTTAGGGTCGCAAAGGTCTCGTGTCTTTCGCAATCGGCAGATGTAGAGCAGTTTTCATTCGACGAATTTTCTGATTATGTTGACAAAGTAAGAATCTACAGTCACCTTCCAACGTCAATGGCAGAGGGAACACTTTGACTTTATAGCTCTTTTCATCAATCAATTGCATGTCGTCAGCTGCGCTATGAGGTTGACGGCGTTGACGTGCAATATCCCTTATTTAAACTCGTCATTAACAGCAACAAATGTCAACGAATAGCTTTAACACACATTCCATCAGCACTTTCATCGTTTACTTCACAGCGTACAACCATTTCCTAGCTGCCAATCATCCGGGAACGGTTGCGTGAGTTTTCAAAACCTGAGTAGTCCTCTGGACTAAATTACTCACATCGAGGAGCGAGCTCCAGCGCTTGCTCCCCGATCTTAATCCTGATCGAATGATAGAAGCACACTTAGTCGAGTACAGCTAGACAAGATGATTATGCTAGACAGCGCCATTTGGTGTGAGTTTTCATGACGGGTAGTAACCGAGCTCTACTTTAATTATGACACAACACTTTGGGAGAATTGGGCCAAACGAGACATTTATCGAATCGTAAGATTGTGCGAGCTAGTTGGTTATACGAGGAGTCTAAACCTAAACTTGGAATTTAAGCTCTATAATTACAGAAGCATTGCGTAAATATCTTCGTACATATCTACACCTGTACGCTGATTTATCTTGATAAGCATTTGCTGCCTCGGTACTTCTACGCATCGCCTTTTCACTCTATAAATTAGACCGCTTAGGTCTGTGGCTTGCGAGTCGGTAGTAGTGGCTAAAATTGACTCGACGCAGATCTTGACTTGCGCTTATCCGGCATTTACACAAACAAAGCAGTATCCAAGCAGGTTAAAGGGCAAAATCCACATCAGTACAAGTCTTAGCGGTAATTAATGCAAGCCCACAATGGTCGTGATGCTTGTTCCATGTAGCTCGCAAGTCAGACTGAGGTCCAGCTCCGGCGAGACATTTTGTGTGTCAAAATAGAAGGGGTCAGTCCTGCACACATTTGTAGAATTGTTTGATCTCATCGTAAAATAGTCTCATGTACCACGATCAGGAAAACGAAAGGCGCAATTTATAGGGGGAGTTGGCGGTATTGACACCGGGATGCACGATCTCACGCTTGACGTAAAAAGCTGTGTTCTAAGCTTGAGCAGTACTTGTGAACTTCCGTTGTTGGACAATGTGGATACCATTGTTCCATGTGAGTATCATGGGCAAGGGCTGACACGTACTACACGTATACAAGATGCATCACCTGAGAGAGAGCTGAGACTGTGGTCCAGAAAATAGAGGGTTTGATTGCGTATGAATAACGAATGTCTTATCTCGCTGTTCGCACCTTTGGCATTTGCAGATCGACGTTGCCACCGGTTGTCGACGAACGGTAGTTTAAAAAAGGTTACAACACGCTAGCAAATGATGCAAACTTGGTTATTACTAAATTACAGAAATAATTTAAGAATTCGATGAAGGGCTTTGTCGGCCGTACAGCAATAAGTTCACCAAGCATCGCGTGGCTTATGAGCGAACACTAGGTTTGAAAACGGCACGCTCTCGTCACAGTTGCCGTTCACCCAAATCACTTTGACGGTCAAAAAGGCGAAACCTGATCTAAGTTCTCAAATTATACGGCATTACTTGGGGGTATTCGGTCCTTGCTCCCGTCGACAGTTTCCAACGTAGTGCGAGCCGCGTACGTGAGCTGCTCCCACATGATCAGCGACAGGAATTTACCGGGTTCCCTCGTAAAGCTGAGGTAGCGGTATTCCGCATAAAAGTGCTTGTGTGTAGGAGCTTGTCACACTCCCCGTCTAAGAAAATAGGGTCAGGTGGAACAAGTTGCAGGTAGTAGCCGTTTCCCTATGGCGTCACCGCCACAATCGTCGAGTTTTCTACACGTGCAGGGTCGTCAATTTACATGACGACGTGCTCGAACGTGTGACAGTAGTCGTCGAATATGTTCGCCATGTCTTTTGGGAAGTACAATGCGCACATGATGGCCTACTTTCCTTCGTACAGAGCTGAACGCGCGTAGATCTGAGACCCATTTCCAGATCCTTTACATTAGTCATCAGAGAATCCCGTTTGGTTTGAAACCGTTGCTGTTATGGCCCGCTGAGTCCACCGTCGCGTATGAGTGAAACACGTAGCTGAAGTGGATCGTTCATTTTCATCGGGCGCCCGCCTTCATTAAGGCTTGTCGCGGGCGCCGGTTCAGAAAGTGGCCGGACTTCGTTGTGGGGGATACCGTTATCTTTCTATGATATCGAGGCCCAAGGTGGAGTGGGAGCGGAACCTGGTGGCTGAACAGGGGCATTTCCGGTACTCATGGGCGGTTCTTAAGCTTGGACCGCAGCTGCTGCGAGCAGAGCGACATACAACAAAGCGCCATTCTTCATTTGAACTGCTGGTCGGGGCGACTTGTGCTGGACGAATTGGAAACTGAACAAAAGCTGCTTTGCTGCGCGAGATGCATAAATAGACAACGACGCGACGACCGAAGCTCTACGTGAGGGGGTCCTTTGCTGCGACGTGCGCACGCTGACACATAATAAAAGAAAATCGCGTGCTCTTTACATCCTCAGCATGGTTTTGCTTGCTTATACATTTAGACAAGGTGGGCCATTCGACCATCGTATGTGAGAGATAGTCAATTGTTTTTCGTCGGTTTGTTGTACGACCGTTGTATCCTTGTACAGAAAAGCGCTCATTTTCATGGTAAGCGGATTCTATTAGAAATTACGTAGTCACGACTTCATACAGCTGAGCATCCTCTGTGTGCAAGTCGCAATAGCAGCATATCCGCCAGCACCAAATTCTTTCTGCGAATGTATGTATAATTATCTACTCAGAAACAGTGGCATGTACACGTTGTTATTGTTGCAATGTTTGAGGACGCCAAAGCATCGTGTTGACGGGAATCTCACTATTTGTCAGGTCTAGATTATATTTTATTTATTATGTGGAGAATTCAGGTTTGAGGTTTGCGCCAGTAAAGCCTCATTAATCTATAACTGATTATTTTTGGTAAATGTGAAATGCGTCAGTCGAGTGCGTCATTGAACCTGTAATTTTTACTGGTCAATCAAACATGATATCCAGCTTTATCAGCTGTTACCCTATTCGATTCAGAGAATGCCAATCCTAATTTTGATGTACACACCCTTTTTCCATTGTTTAATCAAGTTTTTTTGTAATGGCGACTGCTGGCAGACACTGAGCTACAACGCGAAATGTCTGAGAGCACAGTGAATCGAATGTAGATATATCCTACATACATTGTTATCGCAATGCAATAGCCCTTCTTGAGTGGGCTGCATTAGCATCACGGCGACTGTATTTCTGATGACACATCGAGATAACTAATTATAAAGTGTCTAAAACGCTTGTAGTGCATCTCGATTTGCCAACGATGCGAATAACAAGACCATTGTCAGCAAAAGTGTCACTTACAATGACGGTGACAACTACGACGCCTTTATAATCAATCGCAGCCAGATTCTAGGCAACCGCTGTCAAGTGATGACAAACGATGCGCATTTCAGACGATACTTCGATGGCGGTGAATCCTTACAGACTTTCTTCTGAATAGAAAAGCAAGAAAGCACAATTAAGTGTCGTGTGATATGCATGTGTACGCCTCAAGCAAGTGCTGTGTGCTCCGCAAGAATGCTACCACATCAACGAGGCACAATTTATAGGTTAGTGAAGAGTGGATTCGAATGACGCTCACTGTGTGTCTCCTACATCACCGTGACCTTCACAGCTCATCGCCTTCCAGCGATTGCAATCACCACAAATACGATTAAAAGTTCGACGCAGGGTGCATATGATAAAACTAGGATGACGTTATCATAAATTAGTTTGGTTATAGCAGATTAAGATTGAGACGTCATATCGTAATCGGCCAAAGCAAATCACCGGTGCAATGACGTACTGTTGACCAGTGCGTGTAGCCTTTTCCGACTTTAAATTGCTTGGGTTATCCTATGAATGGCTTAAAATTGAGTTGCTACTTCTCCGTGTTGAAGTAGACTAGGGACTTCTGTAACCGAGATCCGACTTGCCGTCCCAACTGTCTACGTATGATATCGCACGGTTGAATACGCGCACGATTTTACGGAGTTATAAGACGATGTTCTCGTTCATATATTAGTAATCAGGATGGTCACACACACATACGTCGGCTGGATTTAGCTCCTATAAAAAGTGAGAGAGTCGCAACATTCCTGCAGCAGATAGCGCTGCTAAATGAATTTACCGCTTTGTATCAGATCATTTATATGAGTCGATGAAGTGCTTATAACTTGAGCTATGAAGACTTCAGCGCTAAATGAATCGTCAGAATATCGACTTTGATGTAGTGTAGTTGCTCCAGCTTTTTTACATGCTCCTGCCTTTTAAGTCGCCCAAACATCTCTATAAGACAATAGAACGACCGGTAAACCAAATCTGCATACCATTACTAGCCTTTTTTCTATCGAAGCCGCATGCCATTTTAGCAAGAAATGTTCAGCAACCACCAGAAGAGAGCAACTCGGTCATGCGGTCGTCTAGTTGCTTGATGTTGGACTGAAAAATCTGCACATTTTCAGCCAAGCTAGCCTCAATCTAACAGACCATACAAATGAACACAAATTTTGCAAGTTAGTATTTGTGCAAGTGTATTTGCCATGTAAACCCAGCATAGCACAGCGCCAGTTAAAAAAGCGTACATTGGCAAGTATCGCAGCATCAGAGTCCAGTAGCTCGTCCAGCGAGGCTTGGGTTTTCTCCATCTTGTCCACACGGGCAGACACAGTCAGCAGCTCATCGTGCACGGACTTCAGCGCAACAAGACGATCTACGACAGTTGGCACCGATGCTGCGATCGTGTCGAGGCTGCTAAGCTGGCCATACAATTTTTGAATTTGCTTGTCATCAGCCTGCGAGTTCAACGCCTTCTGCACACTTGGCGACTGCTTAAGCTTGCTGAGAAGTGTGAATTCGTGCAAAAGAGCTGCCGTACGCGTCTTCACAGCGTCAAGATTTTTCTCGCTCATCAAAGCAACACGTAGCTCGAGTTGCGCAACTGCTGAAGTCAGGTTTACATTTGACACACCACTGATCGAGTCAGGGCCATGCAATCGCACTTCCTGTCCCTGGAAACCGCCAACAATCTTTTCCAGCATCACTATCCGTGCTTCAAGTGCTGCGACCCGAGACTTTGCATCTTGGTCAATAGCATTCGACTCGCAATTATTGTAAATCTCGTAAACAATGGGTGCTTCTTCAGAGAGAGCAAGTTCAGCTGGCTGAAGCTGCTGCTGCTTCTTAAGAAAGTCGATCTTCTGGAAAAACTTGGCTGTTAGATCCTTTTGTAGACTCATCGCCGCATCAGCACTTGCAGCAGTAGTACCAGCGCGTAAAAAAGGCTGGAATGCAGCATTCTTCCCCAACGCCGACAAATTGAGCTGCAGTGTGTTGAGGCCCTGCATAACCTCGGTGAACTCAGCCTCCTGACTAGCGTCCAGCATCACTTTGTGCTTCTTGTGCTCAGCGTCTACCGCGAGCAGCGTGAGATCAGTCTCCAACTCCTTCAGTTCCAGCGACAACCGCGTGAATCGAGACAATGGCGACTCCAACGTCGTCTTGTTGCTACTACTAGTGCCAGCCAGAAGCTCGTACTCGGTCTGCTGCGGCCCGGCTGGCTCTAGAAGTCACAGTAAAAATCACCCACAATTATCAATTCATACAACAATCTCGAGCTTCATTGCCTCAAGCAACCGCAACGCACTGTAAACTTTGCCCATGAAAACCTCAAAGGCTTGCGTCGCCGGAACCTCCTGCTCGTCCAGTTCCATGGACCTCTATATAGTCATAATACATTTCGTAAAATAAATGCTGAATGATGGGCGCCTACTTGTGGACAAAGTACTGCACCTTGTCGTAAAAGTGGCCTTCAGCTTCAGCACCGGCACTAACTCCAGCTCGTGATTGGCGAGCTGAAGCGTTCGCTGGCGCGTAGGGCTGGCACACCTCTTCGGAATTAGGCGTCTCGAAGACTTCCGTGCTCATGATCTTCCTGCGCTTGATCCCCTCTTTTCCGATTGAATAGTCCATAAAAGTCTGGTATTTTGTTGCACAGTGTCGAAAAGACTAAATATTCTATTTTGGGGGGACTTCCCTGAAAGTAAGTTTACTTCTTTATAGAATACATTCTTGCGCTCCTACGACGCACTTTCTATGACAGTTGCATTTACACAGTGCCAAAACTATAGACCATGATGTGGTCTGAATAATTAGGAAATAAACCAAGAGATCGATTTGTAATCATATTCCTTTTTTTAATTTCACACTTGTGGCAAACCTGTTATTCACACCTCTTCTGTCAAATCTAGTATTTACACCCCTACTGATCATAAGTGATCACAGTCCTCCCCATGATAACTTCCCCCGATAACTTGTAGCCTTCACTAACGTGTAGGTTATGACGTCCACCCTGGTCGTTCTGTAGTGTACCCGGCTTTCTTGTCGACATGTCGGATTGCTTTTTCGAACTATGATCGCAATTCTGTAAGCGGGTGAATGCAGAAGCTGTTCGGGCATCTGATCGCGGGTCCCACCATTGCCTGGCTCCGTGTCGCACAAGGCGATGCGGTAGTAGAATACTAACCAAAACAACAACCACTTCTATATCTGCTCACGATAGGCTATCAAGTGCCAATATTTTACCCGCAAACGTCATTACAGGTCGTCGTCAATTGCGCCCGGCACGCAAGTGGCGACTGTCGCTGTCGCGTTAAAAAATCATGAGGCAGTCCTTCCCTTCCTAGACATCACGTCCAAAGTTGATAACCCGGCAGATTAAACATATAAATTGAAACGCCGCAACTATGAGCTCGATCTCTCAACCTCTTGTAACTAAATTGCCTGTATAAATCCATTTGCCCAATGGCAGAAAGCCGAATAGAGCTGGACCGATTCACAGTCGATATCGCTGGTCGTCGGTTGCGCTGTAGTCAGTCAATCCGTCCCTCTACTCCCGCAGGAAGTCCGACCTTGTCGAAGCCTCTCACTGCGTCCGTGCAATGATGTCCACGGCAGCTTCATCCAGAGCCTTCAATGGTGCGTTGGAGCTCACGCCGCGTCATGACCAGCCGCTGCTCCTGCCAGGCTCGGCCGCTCTGGATGCCATGGCGACGCCTTGCGCTGTGTCTGTTCGCGTAGTGGCGGCTGTGGACCTGCAGCCGATGCAAAAGGCGGTCTCGAGCAATCCCATGGTCGAGGTCGCACTCGTGCTCGACGACGGGTCGAGCCAGTTCCAGTGCAGCAGCAGGTGGGAGGAGGGTCACGACGACCTGAAAGCTCTGCCGCCGAGCTTGACGAGCTCACGAGGTCATTGGAGCGACCGAGGCGACAGAAGGCAGTCGTACCGACTGGGCACGAATGTGTTCAAGTCTAAAGTTGTCAAGAGCTCGCTGAATCCGATCTGGAATTTGGACGTGGATTTCGGAGACGTCGACGCCGATAGCGTCGCGGGTGTCTTGTTCACTGTGCGACACGTCGAGAGGTTTGGGCTCGTGAAGAGAGATGTTGGACAGATGCTGCTATCGCTGAGCGATCTTGTGGAGCTCAAGTTGGTAAGCAAGGGTGGGGCATCTATCGGAACAAGACTGATTCTGACATTTGCTGACGATATTCTGGCTATGGTTTTTTATACGGTTAGCAACCGCCGCATCAACAGACGTTTGGCTTGCAGCCGACGGACGAGATGGTGCGACGAGAGAAGTGGGAAGGAAGCTTGAGGAACCGCAAATGTGGAAAGATTACAGTCCGCTTTAACGGCTACGGCGTGCCGTCCAGCTACGCGTTCAAGACAGACGGGCGTCCTTCGAATATGGTGAATACAGTCGTGACCCATGAAGACGAGTTTGGAAGTAACGCCACGTCTTTTTCGGTGCACGACGTCCGGACTGAAGTGCGCAATTTGCAACGATTTCATCAGACGAAGCCTCAAGTAGGCGAGACCTGGTTTGTCGTGAGCGCAGCCTGGATTCGCGCCTGGCTACTTTTTGTGTCGAAGTACAAGGGTGAAGAGGCTTACAATCCTGGTAATGTCGACAACATGCCGCTTATTTCAGACGATTTGACAAACGGCACGTTTCAGATCAAGACCGGTCTGGTCATCAAGAAGGACTTTCGTGTGATCAACAAAGAGAGCTGGGACTACTATCAAAAGGTCTACGGTGGGGGGCCGGCCATTGAAGTGCGAATCCCTGCGGACTGCTCCAAGCCTGCACAGTGGCTGGAACATTTCCAGCTGGACGAAGCTGGTCGCGTCAATTCGAATTACGTTGATACGCTTTGATGTGAAGGACGCCGACCCACTGCCATGTTGTATGACAGCCTCCTTTTTCTTTTGCCACGTATTGCGCAGTGACGTCCACAAACTTATTTAATCAGATGCCATCGCTACTAAAAGTACATGCGCCATTACACATTCAGCTTCACTTCTTGAGCCAAATTGCCTGTGATGAATGCGTTATCTCGCCAGCTGTTTTGTCCTATCCATTAGTAGCCAAAGTAATATCCAGCTTCTCAGCTTTCAGCGTCAACAAGTGACGAAGGGAGATAAGGACGAAGCTCCATAGCTCGCGATGGACAGCACTTTACACTATCCTTTCTGTTTTTCGTCTGCGTCCAGGAACGTGTCGCTTGAGGTATCATCGATTGGCACGATCGAATTGTGGGTGGACGAAGTCAAGCGCCCAACCGGTAACAATCTGCAAAGTGATGAATCCCAGGTGACGGACAGACGGTTTCTTGCCAAAATTCCACGCGTGAGCCTGGTCAGCCCTTCGATGGACGTAGTAGGCAGCTCTTCTTCTGTAACGAGGACGAGGCGTGCTCTCGGTTAAGTAAACAGCATTGGATCCCAATAGCCAGTTACGGCCATCGCAAATGACGGCAGGCACGCGCTCTACCAACAGTTTCCCGCTTTCGCACAACTAGAGCTACATCAAAGTAGACCCCTAGCGACACTAGTACGCCGCATACTCGAGTGCAATCTACTCGCAGTTGACAAACCCGGCCCGTGGCTTGCAGAGGGGCTCGAGTCTAATGTAGTGAAATGGAGAATGAATATATTGAGGAGGAGTGTTAAACTTGGTAGGCTAGTCTGGTGTCATCATATCCAGTCTGGCGCAATCTTCTTTCGTCTGGCGCAATCTTCTTTCGTCTGGCGCAATCCAAGGATGGTCTCGCAGGTCATATCGATAGACAACCCATGTCATACTCCCCCCATGATCTGTGAGATTTAGCACGGAAAAATGCGGCGGATGCTCACACGTTCTGCCATTGCTCCCTTGTCGATGGTCACAGTGCCGTTGCTGTGAACTTGGCGGATAACAAAAGGTCCGGTTGCCACTGCGTGCAATTTTGCACGGAACTTCTTGGGGACGCGTAACATCACGTGGTCTCCCGTATTGTAGAAATGCTCGAGGCGTTTGCTATTCTCGCGGTCATTGTCGGCGAGAATTGCATCAAAACGACGCTTCGATAGATAGCTCCAGTTGGCGTTATAAAGCTGACGAGTGATCATATCTTGACCGAAGAGTAGTTGACCTGGGGAAGCATTAAGAATGCTGTGGTAGCTTGCTCGCACGGCGAATGCAGCGTAGTGAATGGTTTTCTTCCAGTCAGTGCCATCGTGGCACCTGATGACATTTAAAATCTCGAGGTGAACGCGTTCACAAATAGCGTTAGCTTGAGGGTTCTTGCTTGTTATAGGCTTGGCTTGTATCCCGTAGCTGCGGAGCAATTCTTGAAACTCATCACCAGTGAATTCCGTTCCTAGGTCGTGTATAACCGTTACAGGACGCGGGTAGCGGCACAGCCATTCACGATCGAAGCTTTCGGCTGTGGTCAGCGAAGTTTTGTCGTGCTGAATACCCACTTCCAGCCAACGCGTCGCATGGTCAATCATGGTAATACCGTAGTGTCCGTCTTCGTAGGGACCAATGAGATCGACATGAACGGTGTCAAAGGGGTTCACCGTCTTGAGTGTTCGTGGTGGTAGTAATCCATAGTCCTGCTTGCCTCCGTGGACCTTTGCCTTCTTGCAAATTAGACAATCTTTCGCATTCTTGATGATCGCGGCTTCCATTCCGGGCCAGTAGAGAATCTGCCTCATTGTCTTGTACTGTCGTTCACCGCCAGGGTGACTGAGCGTTAAATGATACCAACGAATGAGATCTTCTCGCAAGCTATCGGGCACGATGACGCGCTTTTGGTACGCGACCAGCGTGCAGCCGAGTAGAGGTAGAAGCTGATAGTCAGGATTGTTGTTGCCGTTGAGGCAAGCTGTCTTGATTTTTTGAATCATCAAGTCCTTATCTTGATGTTCGCGAAGAACCGGACCATGCATGACACAATCTGGTTCATCAGCGGTAGCGCATATCTCGTCCGCGAGCTGCAAATGAGTCTTCGTGTTCATCGCATCGAATCTCATCCGGGAAAACGCATCAGCACCAACATTCTTGGTTCCCTTGATGTAATGCATCGATAGCCTGTACTCAGCCAACAGGAGCTTCCAGCGCTTAACGCGCAGGCTGGTTTCGGTCGGATAAATTAGGTTCTTATGGTCGGTGTGAACAACCACAGGGAACCCGAGCAGCATGGTGCGGTATTCGCGCAGCATTTCAACGATAGAGAGGAGCTCAAGCTCCATCGTTGTGTAATTCACTTGATGCTTGTTGAGACTTCGGGAATAGCAGGCGAGAATCTGGTTCTTCTGCATAATGATGCCACCGATTTGCTTTCCGCTGGCATCGGCGTAGACGTGAAATGGTTGCTCAAAGTCAGGAAACGCGAGCAGTACGGCTTGGGCAAACGCTTTCTGGATAGCGTGAAATGCTTCCGTGTCGCTAGACAACCAGTCGAACGGGACTTTGGAGCTGGTGAATCGGTTGAGAGGTTGGCACAATGCCGTCTTGTTGGGTACCATATCTCTATAGTAATTAATCATTCCGAGGAAGCGGCGTAGTTCCTTCCTGGTTTTGGGGACGGAAATTTGTTGGATGGCCTGAATCTTCTTTTGTTGGGGCTGGATCCCTTGAGATGTCAGCGTAAAGCCGAGATAGTCGACGGACTGTCTGAGGATGTGGCACTTCTTTCCGTTGAGAGTTACCCCATACTTGGTTAGTCGCTTGAACACAATGTGTAGGTGCTCTAGGTGCGTCTCTTCACTATCGGAGTAGACGAGTATATCATCCAAATAGACTACGACAAAAGCCAGATCGCCAAAAATCTTCTCCATGCAGGCTTGGTATTCGTCCGGTGCTGTAGAAATGCCCATTGGGAGTCGTTTGTATTGATACTTCCCGAACGGAAGACAGAAAGCTGTGTGACCACGGCTTGAGGCAGCAAGGCGACGCGCGTAATACCCCATATTAGCATCGAATGTTGACAGATACTTGGCTCCTGCGAGACGCAACAGGATCTCGCGTGCTTCATCCTCATTCCGTCCCATGATGATGGCGACGGGATTCTCGCACGGGATGAGATGTGACTAAGTTAGCCAAATTTGATATATCAAAATGACAAACCCGGCCCGTGGCTTGCAGAGGGGCTCGAGTCTAATGTAGTGAAATGGAGAATGAATATATTGAGGAGGAGTGTTAAACTTGGTAGGCTAGTCTGGTGTCATCATATCCAGTCTGGCGCAATCTTCTTTCGTCTGGCGCAATCTTCTTTCGTCTGGCGCAATCCAAGGATGGTCTCGCAGGTCATATCGATAGACAACCCATGTCACAGTCCCCAGGACCAAAAAGCGCCCCATAAAATACGGCGAGATCACAAGTTCTGCTCGACGCTAAATTCTCTCTCTTGGCGCTGTCTGAACATGAAACAGCCCAAAATAACAGCGGCAGCTCCTGGTCATCTCTCGTCGTTCTTTTTCTCACTTTCTTCTCCTTCTATTACTTCCCTCCCCTTCTTCGTCCGGTTTCTTCAGCCACAATGCAGATTCAAGTCCCGACGCGACCCTACCCGTAGGCTCTGGTACCACTTCGGATGGCGGCGTCGCCAAGTCCCTGTCGTCTGCTATAGCAAAAGTGCTGCTGTGGTCTGGTCTACAGCTTAAGCTACGCGACAGATTAATGGCGATACCGTGTGCTTTGTAGACCGTCGGCTCGGCTGTCATGTGCACATCTGTGACGCGAAGCCACATTTTGATGCGGTACAATACCCCGGAACAAAAACATGTTGGCGACCAATCAGAGGACTGTTGACTCTAGGAACGACTAAGGCTCCGACCCGGGTCATGGGCCCGGGTCAGACACGGCAGTAATAACCAGAGTCGGAGTCCTGTGCGTGCAAACTTCGGTCTTCCATTTTTTAAAAAGGAACGCTAACGATGGTCCAATGGCAACAACCCAAGTCGTGCTGTTGCTTATTTTTATGGTGTTTGACTTTCAGGGCTACCTCGAAATGGTTTTTCTGTGCGAGCACCAAGCACTACCCTAGGCTCGCCACATCATTCCCGGAACGACATATACCAGCTGCGCGTATCTAAGATGTGCTTCTTGCGATCAAAAGATAAAAATGATAGCTTCTTGACGTGACGTTAAAGTACCGCGGTACGCTTTCTTCGGATGAAAGGGCCACAAAGATAAAGAGCAGGCTAGAATCGGTAAGTATAGTGATGAAAGTAAGAACTCAAATGCGCAAGAAGAATTTTCCTGGAATCAAATGTTATCATCATATTATCAAGAAATATGTTTTAATCAAATTCAAATTTTGGATTGATTAAGGACTGTGCAAGTATCTTGTGCGCATAACTTGCAAACGATGTCAGCAAAAATATAGGTGCAGTCAGTACAACTATCAAAGCCAGTTTGATGTGGACGCTGTCGATCGCATTCTCTCTGATTCAGATTCTTACGAAATCTGCCGAAACGACTATTCTGTAGTCTGATTATGTAAACTAGCGGGGTAGGTTTCAGCCATGCGTACTATAGTGTGTATTTTAGTTCAGATACACACGAGATCAGGATATGCTAGCACAGCATTCAGAAAAAGCACCGGTACCGAAGGATTTGGTCTGTGGTGCTACTGTTTTTTGAACAAACTCGTTTTCTAAAACTGATCAACCGGTTCCAGAACTGATTGATCAATTTTTGAATAGTCACGGGCAAAGGCCGAGATTGTTGCAGACAGAAGTGATTGACAGCTTCGAGAATCATCGTGAGCTACTGCAACACCACTTCCGCTACTAACGTGTCATCATACGCATCGCTGTATGTAGTGACAGTGAAATTGATAGTGTCAAGCGCTCCGATGTATGCAATTTCATTGGAAGTTATCATCGATCACGAAATACGATCATTCTGCTGCACTTGTATAGCTGCTCCCCAAAAAAATTGACTTCTCACAGACTGCGAAAAGCATCAACATACAACCAAAGCTAAACTCATAAACTGATGCAAAGATTCTGGAAATAGATTCCTCATCGTGATTGACTCCATTGCCGGACACAATGAGATTGAGACAAAAGTGCCTTGTGAAAGAAGTCATATTGGCGGGTTACCAGTATGGTGATTCGAAGCTGACTGACTGGACTGTCAACCACTCCTAGTCATACTTTGTTATTGGATACGATGACTTTCGCCAATAGCCAAATAAACGCTTTGTAATGTAAGTTTGCATTTTGCAAAAGCACGATAAATGGTCAAACTGGGCAAAAGCTTCGGCAAGACCCCGCACGTCGTCACTGAGTACGTGGTAGCTTAATGTCGAATGTCGGCACGGTACATAGTAAGTGAACATCGGGTAAAACCGGGGAGGCGTCCCAGCACGGCATGAGCAGATCGGATCAAAACCAGTATTGCAGATATTGCAAACCGTAAGACTGGTTCTATCCACGACCGTTCCTATCTAGAATATTGTCAAAGCTTGTCGCACGTGTTGCTCGAGCAATGATTTTGAGATCAACCAAAAATTTGCCTCCCTAGCTCCACATAATCGTTCTGTCGCTTGTCGAGAGTTCAGTGATTGAGATGAAGACCTATCCATCAAGAACTGTGTAAACAATTACCACGGTGAGCGTTCTACTGAGCCAGTCGTTGAAAACCAACAAGTAGTGGGCTTGTCCGCGCTGGTGGCGCCGCGCCACTGACGCCCGATTTGCTCCATCCGCTACGTATATTTATCTCAGCAAGTGCATTGAGGTTCAATTTCTTACGTGTTTTTGCAAGCGGCTGCTGGGATCGTTCACTTCGCAGATAATTACTTCATGTTAGTTCTCGGCATCCTTACGCGCGAGTCTAAGTCGAGAGCCGTTGTCGACGAAAGTGTATCAACTACACGCAACGAAACAACACGCGTCAACAGCTTTGTGCGGAGTGTGTTTTTGCGATACAGTTGACTTGAGAAAAACCATGCTCGCAGTGCTGCCCAGCTTTTCCACCAGCTGGTGCTCATGCTACGTGTGTGTAATCGGCATCTCTTCAGATCTCACGCAGAGCACCAGCCAATCAGAGCAGTTCTATTTCACATCATGAAGAAAAAGCGTCTGGAAAGCCAATCGTACCCTCGCAGGTTGTAACCCAGCCCTACATGCAGAACAGCTAATGGTTTTTGGCCTGCGACCGACCGACGACATTTGACCAGAAGAAGCGCAGCAAACATCTTGAAAAAGCGAAGGCAAAGCGCAGGCCAGAGGTTTGCGATCGACCATTGTTCGACGAACTACTAGCAGGCGTCCAAGCAAAAGGGGATTGTGCTTTGGAGAACCGATTAGTCGTCCATCGCCCTGGTGTCTGAATCTCCTGCAGCAGCTTTGAAGGAGAATGACAAGAGAGGGCAGGTATCGGTTCCGGGCCGAGAGCAGGAGACCAAACAGACGTGCAACTGTGTGGCTGTCCATTGTCGTTACAGCTCTGATGCTAGTCAACGTGGCTACAGCGACGTCCGCAGTGTCCCACTCGCCCAGCTTTGTCATGGATGGTATTACCACGTACTGCTGGGAGGTTGGTACGTCGATATACTCCAACACGGTTGACGCCTCTTCCGTAAACGTCGTGAGCGCCGAGGGCGCTGGCTGTCCCCTGGAGCTGTCGATCGCCATTCCCTCAGGTGACGTGCGCGTATACCGTCCGGTGGCCATCTCGTGGAATGCCACGAAGCGCGTTTCGTCGAGCGGTGCTTTCGAAAAGAATGCCTTTGGCTTGACCAGTCTGTCTGCAGGACTCGACCGAATTTCGCAAGAGTACTATGAAATTACCGCATCACGTCTGCGGACGTGCCCTTACGGTTCAAATTGTCACCCGGTGACGACAGGGTCACAGCTGACCGAGAACACGACTAACATCCCGCTAAACTTTACGGATGGCCTGGCGACATTCGAATCGTCGGAGCTCTCGTTTGCCTCTGCTGGAACTTATACGTTGGTGGCTCACTTGATCCTGTCTAGCAGCGCGCCTGCGACTAAGAGATACGACTATGCGGTTTTCTTGAAGATACAGGTCCTCTCGGGCTCCGCAGTGGCAGACACCGTTGCTACACCGTATTCTGAATCAACTGCTCGGTCGGACAGCTCAGGTATGTCAACACAAATGATGTGTCTGCTTATCATTAGCGGCATCGTGGTCGCTGCCTTGGCCGTGATTGGGTTTGTAACGTTGCGCGCTAAAATCGACCGAGACCCTAAGGCATGCATCAACAAGCGCAATACGAAAAAGGGTCGGGGAATGTTCGGGTTTTCAAGCACAGGAATACACAGCGGTACTAGAGCTGCTGGGGCTAGTGACGGGGAAGCTGAGGAGTTCGCTATGCTTAGCATGGAAGAAGCTACCATCCATCATGACCGTGGTAGCACGTACCTCAGTGCTCTTGGCCGAGGACGGCGAAGCGATGCTACGCTTGACAAGAAGGGTAGCCCCATCAAATATGCGGGACCGGTGCAATGTCTGGATCGCAAATCTAGTCTCGCTGACAACGCTAGCTCTGGTATTGGAGACATCACACCGCAAAGCATCACAATTGAAACGCCTGCTACTGGGCGTGCTAACTACACGGGCATGGATGATACGCCAAAGGGTGCTCCTCTGAAGCCTTTCTCGTTTGACCAAGCCACCGCTGTTCCTGGTCAGATTATGTTTAACGACATTATGGAGGACGAAGTGATCTCTACTCATTCGCGATCAAGTATCGTTGTAGACGCTGCCTCTCGACCGGACTTCAACGATAGTAACGTGTCCGATGTGACGGATCTGAACCTCACGGCTGTTTCTGAGCGCATAAAGCAGCACTGTGCTATTGCCGAGCAGGAGGCATCAACTCAAATCAATCAGGACGTACTAACAGCGGACGATCTCCGCGAGTCTGAGACCAAGGGACCGATGGAGCTTAACGACCTCCTTGCTTCAAGAGTAAAGAAGTGAGTCAAGTGGACTGCGCTTCACCGTGGTGCGACAACGGTTGTAAGTTAATTTGCACAGCGAACCTGTGCGAGGTGCGTTTGTACATAGCATCTAGAAGCTGCTGAAAGCCGTTTCGTCGGTGGACTCATTTAGTCGGTAATATAGACTACACTAGCGAACGCGTACGAGTCAACGCGTACATGCACGTCGGCAAAAAGTAGGCACATGCCACGATTGAATACTGTCGTACTTTTTAAAATTGAGAGTTTAATGCAACATTGACGGCAGTAGCTCTACGCTTTTTCACTTTCTTCATTATGTACCCTACACGAATATACTCCGTTGCCAACCATTCAACTGCCGTCATCACAGCTAAATTTCACGTAACTTGCCATCAGAAGCAGAGCGACAGCGACAACAGCAATTGGCAGCCATGCGTATCCACACGTGCTACTTCTGCTCAAGCCCTGTTTATCCCGGCCACGGCATTACGTTCGTGCGCAATGACAGCAAGATTTTCCGCTTCTGTCGCTCCAAGTGCCACAAGAACTTTAACCGCAAGCGCAACCCGCGAAAGGTGAAATGGACCAAGTCCTTCCGTAAGGCAGCGGGCAAGGAAATGGCGCTGGACACGACCTTTGACTTCGACAAGCAGCGCCACCGCGCCGTCAAGTATGACCGTGAGCTCATGGGTGCTACCATCCACGCCATTGAGCGCGTGACACAGATCAAGGAGAAGCGCGAGGCCGTTTTCTACAAGAATCGCATGAAGGATAGCAAGGCCAAGGCCAAAGCGCGTGACTTGCGCGAGCTGGAGCAGAACATTTCGCTCATTGAGCCAGCAGCAGCAGCGCTCAAGGATCAGGCACAGCTCAATGTGTCGGCTTCGAAGCAAAAGGATGCAGCGGCCACCGAGGCACCGTCTGCTATGGTCTTAGATCAGTAAATAAGGACTAGGGTGAGTCGTGAGTAATAATGCATTTAGCTTTGTTTTACGCCTTTGACTACAACCGGCGGCTGCAGCCAGAGGATACGTGGCTCGTTAATTCCTAGGTAAGGGTCGGGTGACTCCAGCTGATCTCCTCGATCAGTATGACACTTTAAATACTGCACGTAAGCTGTTGTGGCATTCCGTCTACATTTGCATGAACCGTACTTAGCCAGCAACACCGGGGTTAGGCGCTTCTGAGCCAGCCACTGGTAGGGCATATCAAACCCAAGTGCTTTTTTTCTCGTCTCAAAGGGGGGAGCCACCAGCTCCGATCCAGGTTCAAACCCACGATATCGCAGTCCAGTACCAAGACGAGCCGCCACCATGCCGGACAAACTGACGCGCATCGCGATCGTAAGCACCGACAAGTGCAAGCCCAAGAAGTGTCGCCAGGAATGTAAAAAGTCCTGCCCCGTCGTGCGTATGGGCAAGCTGTGCATCGAAGTGAATCCGAAGAGCCGCGTGGCCTTCATCTCGGAACAGCTCTGTATCGGGTGCGGCATTTGCGTCAAGAAGTGCCCATTTGAGGCGATCAACATCATCAACCTCCCCAAAGACCTGGAGAACAACACGACGCACCGCTATGGCGCCAATACCTTCAAACTCCACCGGCTGCCCATGCCCCGTCCAGGTCAAGTATTAGGTCTGGTCGGCACGAATGGAATCGGCAAGTCCACAGCGTTGCGGATCCTCGCAGGAAAGCTCAAGCCTAACCTTGGAAAGTTCGATGCTCCTCCTGAGTGGCAAGAGATCTTGACTCACTTTCGCGGGTCGGAACTGCAGAACTACTTCACTCGCATCCTCGAGGACAATCTGAAGGCCATCACCAAACCGCAGTATGTGGACAAGATCCCCAAAGCTGTCAAGGGAACGGTCCACGGCATCCTGTCCGCTCGTTGCGAAAAGGAAGGGAAGCTGGACCATTTCCTCAACGAGCTGGATCTGTCGCATGTGCAAGACCGTGATATTGAAAACCTTTCGGGTGGTGAGCTGCAGCGGTTTGCAATTGCTGTGGTGGCGGTGCAAAACGCCGACATTTACATGTTCGATGAGCCGTCGTCGTACTTGGACGTGCGTCAGCGTCTCAAGGCTGCTCTTGTCATTCGCTCTATGATGACCGACAACGCTCGTTCGTACGTGGTCTGTGTTGAGCATGACTTGAGTGTGCTGGACTACCTTTCCGACTTTATCTGCGTACTGTACGGTACGCCATCAGCCTACGGTGTGGTCACAATGCCATTCAGTGTGCGTGAAGGTATCAACATCTTCCTTGCCGGTTTCGTGCCCACGGAGAACCTGCGTTTTCGTACCGAGGAGCTCACGTTCAAGGTTTCGCAGAACGCCGACGAATTCAGCACCGGGGAGGGCGATGCCAACTCGTTCAATTACCCGGCAATGACCAAGACGATGTACAATAGCAAGAAAGACACTGCCTTCAAGCTGCACGTCGAGGCGGGGGACTTTACTAATTCGGAGATTATCTGTATGCTTGGTGAGAATGGTACGGGTAAGACCACGTTTATTCGAATGCTGGCTGGTCTATTGAAATCGGACGAGATGGAGGCTGCCGAAAAGGCTGGCGATGACGAAGCTGTGACAAATTGCGCTTTGCGTTACGATACATCGACGATCAGTTATAAGCCGCAGAAGATTGCGCCGAAGTTCCAGGGGACGGTGCGTGAACTACTGCACCGCCGTATCCGCGAGGCCATTGTGCACCCGCAGTTCGCGACAGATGTGACGAAGCCGCTGAACCTTGACAACATCATCGATCAAGCTGTGCCCCACCTGTCTGGTGGTGAGCTGCAGCGTGTGGCAATCATTTTGTGCCTTGGTAAACCTGCGGATTTGTACTTGATCGATGAACCGTCCGCCTACCTGGATTCCGAGCAGCGTATATTGGCCGCTAAGGTGATCAAGCGCTTTATCCTGCATGCAAAAAAGACGGCATTCGTTGTGGAGCACGATTTCATCATGGCCACGTACTTGGCCGACCGTGTGGTTGTTTACGACGGCCAGCCGGGTATCGAGTGCACGGCACACGCTCCTCAGAGTTTGCTAACAGGAATGAACGCGTTTTTGAAGCAGCTGGAGATCACGTTCCGACGGGACCCTACGAACTATCGCCCGCGTATCAACAAGTACGACTCTGTGAAGGACGTTGAGCAAAAGACTTCGGGCAACTTTTTCTTCATTGACGATTAAACTAGACGATGGCTGATACGGAACGGACAGCCCGATGAGGATAGCGAGTCTCAGTTTGGAGTAGTGAAGAAACAGACGCTGACTGGCGGGCAAGACGGCTTCGATCGTTCGTACGTTAAAAGCTAGTAGGTGGAGTAAAAGCAGACACTGCATATTGGCGCAATATTTTTGTGCTTTGGTTCTCCAGTTACTTGTTGTTGTTGATTAGCTGTTGATGGATGCAGTCGATATCGTGGAGAAGCGAGGTGAGCTGTTTGTCGTCCAGCTCGAGCACCACCTACCAGGTGGAAACAGCAATACGTCAGCCCACGTCATAGGCACTTAATCGATTGTTGCACGATATTGAACCTGTCGCTCGGATCCATCGTCTTCCGTCAAGCGGAGCTTCAAAGTCACCGATTGCTGGCGATCTCCGCAGAGCGAGCTATGGGATAAATTCACGCGCACCGAGTAATCGAAGTCGAGCAGATGCTCGAGGTTGGCAGTCTCCATAGGATGATTCGGAGATACGCGATAGATCAACTGCTTTTGTCTCAGAGAATGACGTCGTGATAGAAATGTAACTGGACTGGAGATGAATTGCGCTATAGAAATAGAGCGGAGTGTTAAGCTTACGGGGGCAATCGATCGTTTAAAGAGCGATTTGAGCTTTATAGCTTCAGATCGTGTCCTTGGAAGCTACAAAGACGCAAGTCAGTAGTGTACGCCACAAAAACCTGAACGTAGGGCCAGCACTTGCAGCACTCCTCTCAACCCAAAGTCATGCTGGCGAAGCAGGTGGGCAAGTTCATCCGGTCGCTAGGGCAAACGATCGACCGCGTCGGCGTCTCGCTCGAAGGCAGTTTGACCTACACCGAGCACTGTAAGTTGAATGACAACGAGAAGTTAACGACACACAAAAAACGAGTGGGAGTTTGTAATGAACTAATTCATTCGTCATCCTTGTGTCGATTTTGCGCGTTTGCGACCCAGTGAACCCCTCGACCCGCGCTGTTAAAAATCTGGGACGCGCACCCACGTTCGAAGAGGGTGTTTTTGTGGCGCCCAATGCGTCCGTGGTTGGCGACGTGAAGGTGGGCAAAGGCAGCTCCATTTGGTACAACGCCACAGTGCGCGGGGACGTTAATCACATCACGATCGGCGAGAACTCCAACATCCAGGACCAAGCGGTGGTGCACGTGGCGAAGATCCATCGTGACATTCCCACCAAGATCGGGAACAATGTGACTGTGGGCCCCGCCGCCATCGTACACGCTTGCACCGTTCAGGACCACTGCATCATCGGAACGGGCGCGCAGGTGATGGACGGGTCTGTGATTGGAGCCAAGTCCGTCATCACGGCTGGCTCTATTGTCACCCAGGACAAGCAGGTGCCGTCCGGACAGCTCTGGTCAGGCGTCCCTGCTCGCTACTTGCGCGACCTCACGGCCGAGGAGATGCACTTCATGCAGCAGTGCTCGGCCGAGTATACACAGCTAGCCGAGCAGTATGCTGTCGAGTGCGCAAAGAGCTTTGAGGAGTACGAAGCTGACACGGAGCGCTTTAAGATCTTGCGGGACGTGGGGGAGACCGGCTTGCTGCAGAAGGAGGACACGCGCAAGGATACGGGTCTTTACTTTCGTTACTAGATCGTTGTCCGCATTGTGGTGCGAGTGCAGTAGTGGTGACGAGCAAAAAGAATGGATGGATGGATGGACACACAACAGCGGGAGTTTGCTTGGATGCCGTGCTCGTTCGTACCTCTGATAGCTATTTCTTTGGCTGCTCCTTCGTGCTGTGCTGACTCGCCTTCTTCAGTGGACGCCTCATTACCTCCTTCGTGTGCTTGACAACTGCCTCTGTGCGCGCTATGACTGCTCCTGTGCGTTCGACCGCTTTGCGAAGTGGCTGCGCAAGCGTTTTGGACAGAGGCCTCAAAGCACCGGTCTTTGTCATGTACCCGTACCAGTACTGACACCCTGACAGAAACGTCGTCGAACCAGTAACGCCGCTGCACATCACACGACACAATTAAGCATAGCTTGTATCTATCAGATCGACAACGAAATGAGTACGTACAAGAGGAAAGTCAGAGCGAGATCGGGAGGCATCTGCCACGCCGCGTTGGTCAAAGCAAGTCCGAAGGTGGAAAACTGTAAAGCTGTGTTCACCTTGCTCAGGATGGTTGGCTCAACTTGGAAGGCTTCACTGTCTGACATATCAAAGAACCCCAAAGACTCGTTCTTCGTCTTAAGTCGGTGGTAAAATGTACCTCCGATCAACATCCCGTCGCGACCCAACATGAGTGCAGCTAAAGGCAACGGAAGCAGCCCCGTCCACATCGTACTGAGAGACAGCGTGCCAATCAGCAATTTGTCCGCAAAAGGATCCAAGAACGAGCCGATGATCGACTCTTGGTGGAAGGTTCTTGCGACAAAGCCATCCAACCAGTCAGAGACACCAGCCAAAGCTAGCACTGCCAAGCAACGATCGTCAAAATCGTATATAAAAGCTGTTTATGCTCCAATATGACTGCAGACAAATGGTATCAACATGCAGCCGTACCGCCAATAGCTGACGTGTGGTCTCCCTGGACAATGAGATACGATAGGTAAGGTGTTGCTAGGATCCTGGCAGCCGTGATAACGTTGGGCACGTTCACGACTTGGTGCAGTGCCTGTTCAGCATAAGAAGAATACCGCTTAGGACATTTACACGTTCGGCAATGCAAGTAGATGTAGCCATTGTCGTACAAAGCCCTTTGCGGTCTCCAAGTCCTTTTTTAGCTTCGCTCTGAATCTTTTTGTAGCCATCTTGACTTCCAGCTCGCTCTGTCGACACGTTTTCGGATCCGGATCATCCGCTGGCGATCCACTTACGAATCGACGCAGCGTCAGCGGCCGTAGAGAAGCTCGCTGTCCGCTGGTTTTCCAAGGCACGATAAACGGAGGCAGAACATTCGGATCGGAGATCGACGAAATGCGTCGGCGGAATCGCAGTGTCGGCGATTGCCAGCGCCATCCGGACGTGGCCACTGACAGCATCATGCACAAAAAGCGTGTGGACTAAACCGTAGTTACTCATAGAAAAATGTCGTGCCATATGAAATATTCTCAAAGTTGATATCGTCGCAGGAGCGTGATAGAGTCTAAATACTGTTTAAGGAGTCACGCGACGCTCAGGCTGGACTGATTTCATAATTGTCAGAGCGAATCTAGTTAGTCATCAATTGGTGCGCACATAAATTATAAGCTCAGCAAAAAATCAAATGTGAGTATTTTAGAAGAGTTTTGTGTTTGGAAACGAGGTTTGAACCTCTCTTAGAAAGCGTCAGTGGCCGTTTTGACTTCCTAAAGTCACAGGAATACTATATACAAAGGTAAAGAGGTAGAGAAGATGGTTGGAAAAATAAAGTTCGATGCCACTGTTATCCAGCAAAAAGCTTACCTATCTTACTTCGATCGAAAAGGCGAACAGAATCGAGTGGGAAGGTAACGCAGACGATAACCCGAAGGTAAAAAGCGACCAAAGTAATTGAGTGAGCAATCTCTGAACCAGTTAAAGTGTTGAGCAAAATGCAGAAGATCTTTTAGACAATCTTAAGTGTAGGACGCAAGCAACATGTATATCGTGTGATATAGCAAACACTTCTCATTCCGCAGTAATCCAGATGTCGGTGGTGTAGTGGCTAACACAAGTCGGTGCGAGCTGTTGGCATGGGTCTGATTCCTGCCAGCTACAACATCGGGAAACTAGAAATTGAGTTAATCAGTGTATTGTGCGAGCGTATCAAGCAGTGAATATGACTGAACTTTCTGCCCAATCAATAACTGATAATTATTCATACTCACAAAAGTGCGCCACAGCAGCGCAATATCTCGGAGATGACTCAAGAAAAAGTTGTTTTTCCGTTATCCCGCCTACGTTTTGTATTTCTGTGACACTAGAAACCACTTTTTTGTCTGCATGTTATGGCTCAGGATTTTGAGATCAATCAGATTATCGGCCAAGATTAGTTGCATGTCATTAATTGGCTGCAATAGATAGAGAGATTCGATGATTTTGAAATCGACGACGTGGTTCTAACTGACACAAGAAAAGTTATACCGTTGAACCTAGCCCGGGGCCAAATACAACAAACAAAGGCGATTACAATTATACCAGTCACGTTTAACCAAAACTAATGTTATGGATATGGATATACTGACTACCGAAAAGATTTGCGTATAAAATAGAGGGGAAGTTATACTATTATCTAGCTAGTGCACAATAAAGTGAAGTTATACTCACTGACGGAGACGCTCTAAAGAAGATTATTATAACCACACCCCTTTTCCTTTTTCACACCTGATCCAACCTATTTGCAATAAGAGTAATTACAACCCACGCTTTCCAACTTGCATTCTATGTAATGGTGTGCCTCCGTTACATGATGGTTCGCATCAGGCATTGATCAAGTATGAATAGTATGTTAGGACAAACATAATATTCTCACCATTTGATCCCAATAGATAATAGTTCTGCGTAGATGTAGTACACTACTCATTGCATGATATAAGATCAAGATATCAACTAATAAAGCCCAGCCACAACTTAAGCATGCAATGATTGGTGGGCAGATAGTTACAATGCATGTTTGTATTTAGACATAGTTGAATGAAGTCAAATAGAGATTTACTAAAAAAAAGTTGACTATACTAAATACAGCTCTTATATTTACCCCAACTGAGTGATCTTACTCCGTTTATCAATCTTTACCTGCACGTACGTGTACGTGAGTTAGTCGGACACACTCACCGTTGTACTATTTAATAGTGCAGGGTATATCCAGTTAGCTGAACAAGGTGTGCCCAATTACACTAATTAAAGTTCCGAAATCCGTTCCCACCGCACCCTTCCATAGGCAAAAATTTTTTGTGATTGAGTGGACTCTGCGCGGCCACCCTATCCACTCGCTATTAAAACCCAGCAAACCCATCCGCGCCCACCCAAATCCTGCGCCCGGTTGTTCACCAGATTACAATTGTACAGATAAGCATTTGCACCGTAATTAATAAAATTATTATAAATTAGAGTGCTTAATTAATTTAAGCTTGCGACGTCACGCCACTCACGCACACCCACATATTGTCCGTTTCACGCATGACCGTAATTATGGTCGCGGGTGGTCGCGGGCGTGGGTGTGAGCGGCTAATTTGAAACTCTGCTCTCTCTGCATTAAATAATGGGGGGGCTTCTACATGTTATGTACCATACGTTAAAAATGGAGTTGTCATAGCGGACACCTATTTCCTGGTCAACGCCCAAGCTGCCAGTTGTGGCAGGTTTGTGCGGTAGATGTATGCTAACACTAAGTCCTTGAAGCTTCTTAGTATGATTTAGCACTGAATAGAGAAGAACTACGGCTCAATTGATAAAGACACTGATGAAGCCCGAGCGCGAGTCTACGAGCCCGAGCGCGAGACTACGGCTCAATTGATAAAGACACTGATGAAGCCCGAGCGCGAGTCTAAAACGCGTCTGGCTCGCGATCAACACAGACGTCGCTTGTCATGTTCTTTTAACTTTCTGCATCGTAAATTTGCACACTTGTCTCCGAAGCTTGTGTGACTCTTGACAATATTTCACCCCGAGGAGCCATGTTATCTCTCTCTTATTCCAAGCTATTTTACGTAAAGGCTTATCCTGGAGTAATTATTGCCCGTTCAAGATGTATGGTAATGGGTAGTCGCGAGAGTGTGGAATAATGTCGTTATTGAGGTCACTTTATGCATCTAACTGGATATTAGTACGTGTTGATTTACAATTCCACTAAAACCAGACGCTGTTATGGCATAACTACAACTATCATTATTTTTCACCACACCTATAATGACTATTTATATACCTTTTCGCGACCATGTGACGTTCATTTGGTCCTTCTCAGCACCGTAAATAGGTAATGGACGCACTTATAATTCTACAGACCGATGAATTTATGATACGCTATCGTGTAAGCAAGATTTGGATGCACAAAGTGGATGTGCAGCTTTTGCTGCAATCTTTACGCTTTATTACGTCACGCTTAGCTTGAGATCCATACTAGTGGGTAGCGCAGAACAAATGGAATTTTAAGATCTCTTCTGGCCACATACTTAATTAATTGATTAAGGTGCACAAGTGCGTATATAGTCACACAAACTCACTGTATACTGATCGTTGTTTGTTTATTCTAATTGTGGGCGAAGGCGTTACCTGTTAAGATGCAGGCAGTTTTAACGATGCAACCATGTCAAAATTGCGTCCCGTCGGGCTTATAACTGTTGCAGGCCATCATGTAAATATCGATAATTTCTACTCATTAGGTGGCGTAATATATCTCTTGAACTGGAACAATGCTAATTGGTATATTTTTATGGACGCCCTAAATCACATACGGCTAGTTGATCGACACGTTTAAAAGTATAAATATTAGTTTTTAGTTTTTGCAAAGTAGAAAATTTTGAATTAAAAATGGGAGCGGACCATGACCCTGTAGATTTAACGAACGAGCCTTCACCTCATACATTAAACATTTGATAGGATTTATAAACCCCTAGATTATTTAAAAAATTTGTATTGTAAGTTTAGAAATATAACTTATTACTCTCATTTGATCTTCTTCATCGTACGTCTTATCGCCCTTCATAAAAGAAATATGAAAGGCAATAACTAGATCACAGGATAGCTTGTTGTTTCCGTTGACGAACTTTACCACGCGATTGACGAACTGACACAGCCATAAGGCTATGTTACAACAATTTGATAGAGAAAAGGGTGGGTTATGCAAGGACAGTGAGGTTATGCATGTGATTTTGAAATGCTCGTGCAATGCTATCCACAACAGGCAATTCGTGAAAAAGATTTTAAAAACATACAAAAATATCAGTCAGGCCTCACCAGAGGGTCATCTGCATGTAGCATGAGTCCCGAGTTTGTACGATAGCATATTTATAGATTCAGGTAGAAGATGGTCTGAATACTTTTGTACTATAATCAAAGCGCTGACATCGATGCTTTTCGGGGTGCTACCCTTGTTTAGATGGAGACGTGGTGTGGGGAGGGGTTGCTTCACCTCAATTAAGCCGGTGCTAGCTTACGTTTCAAGTGCTCTCATTATTGAGCTGCTCTATGCAGTAAAAGTGTTGATAAGCTTTGCTATGTGAGCACATCGCTGCAAGGACGACCGCATGCACGGCCGTTCAACCGTATATAAGTGAATATGAACAACGCTCTAATAAGAAAAGCATTTTAACAGCGACGAATCTTTATTTATAGCCTTTCTCGCGTCCCAACGACTTTATGAGCAGTCCCTGAAACGATCGCGAGGCGTGACCACTTCAATTACAATTATATTCCCCTGGTCTTCTGCTGTCATCTTAAGCGGCTTTGCCAGCAGCAAACTCATAACTTACTTTACCCGCTTCGGCTTTTGCCAGGAATACCCGTCGAAGGGGCTGCTTTGTATGTGGAGCTGCGGGTATGAATGGCTCAGTCTTAATTGTGAAAAGTTAGATATTAGAAGCATAAAAGTACAACATTTTTCAGACAATATTGAGGGATTCAAATTGAAAGACTTGATTAGCCTTAGTTAAAGTCTTATTAGCAACAATCTAGAAAACTTTATAGGCTCCGTTCATGATATGCATCAGGTAGAAGAATTTTATGCATTGGCACTCAATTAAATGGATTACCCGGGTTGGGTTTGAATATAAGGGAAAGAGGTGTAATCATGTGTCAATTCCATAGTATAGTGGCAGCCGATAATGGGGATTCATTTTCCGCTAATAATCCTTCACCAACTAATTAAACAATTGACAAAATTTATAGACTGTTAAATGGTCGATTGAAGTTCCATCTTTAATGATGTTCATTCCCAAATTTAACTGTCGAGAATAAGCCGATCCTATCCTCATATGTACATCGAGCATCACTTTTGGCGGATATTCTGCGTAGCGCCACACAAAGAGAGCAAAGCGTTTTACTTGGGATGCTGTTCACGCAGCTGCAGGGTACGATAGCTGTTTATGGTAAAATACTATGGCTAAATAGTGCTCCAGCGCTTCGTGCTCAATTTGAAAACCGCAATTTGAGTTGGTGCGTCTTGCAAGAAAAAGCAGGAAAATCCTATGAATGATGGGTGCTTTTTCTACTCCGGCGCGTTTATTTGTTGTTTATTGCATCCTGTTATCGGCCGTACTTGCGGCCATCAGTAAAGCTAGTTTTTGACATTGCAACGCCCCGCCACACGTTTGCTGCATGAAGCAGCAAAGCACTGAGAGTACTTGATATATAGGCTTGCACTAGCCTAGTTGAGGTAGGTGCAATCCCCCCTTAATAAGGTATGTATCTATTCAAAGATCCACCCGAAAAGCTCTGCCGACGGCACTTCATTTCTGGTTCCGAAGATATCATAATTTCTTCAGGATTACCGTATAAAGAAGATCTTGAAAGTACACAACCCATCATTCTGCTGCGTATTGTCTTGTTGTGATTGAGTACTAAAATGTATTTTAGTGAACCAACAATTGTGGTGTTCTCAAAGTAGTTTTGCGCTTACCATATAAATAAGATGGATGCGTACTTTATTGTCAAAATTGCTTCTCCGCAAGGAAAGAAAATAGCCAAACCTCTTTTGGGCCCAGCAACTAGCTCTGGAGAAACTCAAAGTGCGAGTCGGGAACGAACAAGTGACTTAAATCTTGTACAAGGTCCTGACGTAATTTATGCACGTCTTGACACTTCTATGCAGCTTGATTCTACTTTGATTGGGCAAGTACATGACCTATGGATTGGCTATGCATATTTGGTATGTTCGTAGACCAGAAAAAAGCCTAAGGCTCGTCATTCTGTCTTGAGCGTCTATACATTTCAGCAAAAAAAGGGGAAAATATCCTTTTGCGGATTAGAGATGTGCATGTGGCCATGAACTCCGCTATGCTCCAATCGTAGCACGAGCGAGTTGGTGTGGCTATCTCTTAATTATGAAGTCGTTCCAAAAAATGGGTTATCACCTGTAGTAATTCTGCAGGCTAGAATTTTCCGCATGGAATTATCTTCACTACCCATTATTGCGGGTGTGTACTCCGTATGATTAGGCTTATCGCGCGGGTTTATGTTACCTTTCCGCCCGTCAGGGCAGGAAAGCACTATCGGACTATGTCCAAGAGATGAGAATTTAAATTTCTCTCATTAAGCTCAATTCCTACCAGCAATGGATCTGGCTACCATCGTTATAAGGGCCGTCGTATAGTCGCGTCTCGAACGAAAGCATTCCGAGTACACCTACCTCCTTGAAGTGGCTGTAGATGTCACGATAAACACTGGGTTTAACGTTACTACCGCCCGCTTTGGTACCCATGGCAATAATCCGAAATCGGCGAACTCTTTTAGTTCATTCAATAGGCAGAGCCTATGGACCATTGGCTCGCCGAGAAGGACGAAGAAGCATAGCTTCGAGCCGTAAAACAAGCTCGTAATATTTGACAAAAATTCACATACGGAAGCACATAACATTGGCGCATTAACTACCCTTTACGTATAGTACGTCAATCTTCTTCGAGCCGTACTTTCATCGCGAACATAATTATGGTAAGGTGCAGGAAACGTAGACTCCGTTAGGCGCGGGGAGCCCTGATTGGAAAGAACTAGGATCTCTGGAGCTTAAAGTAGGTAATTACAAACAGAACTTAGCATTTAAAAGCTTCTAACACTCGAATGCGGGAAGAGAATAATAGCCAGGCTTGTTGATCGCGAAAGCAAACCTTGAGGGCTGTATAAAGCCTTGTTCAATTTTGATTTAGTCCAGTGCATCCAATAATTACGTTGGATGATGTTTCCTTATAGGGAATCAACGTTTTGTTGAGGCGCAAGAAGCGCACGCGGGTTATGCGATCACTGCTCGCTTGGCGACAGAGGCTCTAGTCACTGAAACCAAGTTCTGGTAGAGTTTAGTGTGAAGCTTTCAATTTAGGTAGTGTCGAAAGATGTTTCGTCCTTGGGATGGACCCGAGATATCATCTCATTCTTGGTATGTCCAAGATTGAGTCCATGAGCCATGGATCGATTAAAATTCAAACAAATAAGGCGCAACGCACACTGCCCCTAGCGAAACTTTGTATAGTCATGAGATCACCTCTGCTAAAATTCAAAAGCATTATTGGCGCGAGCCACAGGATGAGAATTTCAAACAGTGTTCTAGAAATCGGAACGCTAGCAATCGTTGATTCTGACGATGTCAAGACATGAGTATCGGGCAAAGCTCGTTATTCGGTGTTGAAACACACTAAGTAGTCCGCTGAGTGATGTCCGATGTGATAACGACACACTTAATGCTGAAAGTATTGTTCGCGAAGTGTTAAGTCATCGGTGCTTATAATTACCAGATAAGCGTGAAGTAGCACGTAGTGTACTCACTGAGTGACGTTAGCTGCGAAAGCGGATGCTGAATGTTAAAAGAGAGAATGTTGGTGAATAACCAATTTGTCATAAGCTCGGCTCAGCGGATGCACGTGAAGTGGCGCTTAACTTAAATGATAAATACGTCATGTTAAATGAGTAATAATCGTTTGTCAAAGTGACGTCAGTTCTAGTTTGGAGAATATAGCGTTCGATGATGGCATCGATCGGATAATGTAGCGTATCTTTTGTTACACATTGGTGATGAATACAAGCTGTATACAATCTTTAACGGAGTGACTAATTACTGTGAATGTAAGGTTATCCTTGAGGCTATACATCCGTTTAGTTTGATTTTAGAACTCGTAAATTTGTCGGTCGACGAGTTTTGTAACGGGGTGAATCGTAACATAACAATTTATAAGAAATCGTTAATAGAATATAACTATAAGAGTTATATTCACAGAATATTGTCATAAGGACGAATATTCTGCAGCACTTACGAGTAGTTCCTAATTGGTTGATTTAGGCCATTATATCAACCAACGAAGACGCGCCACGACAGACGCACGCAATGAGTGGTGAGTAGATAGTTGATATACACATTTGTATTCAGACATAGCTAGATGAGGATAAACGGTGGTTTATTAACAGGCATTAACTATGATAAATACAGTTCTACTTTTACTTTAGCCAAGTACTCGCTTCTTCTTACCTTCTTCCTCTGCACGTACCAGTGTACGTGAAGTATCGAGGCACCGCCTTATTCTGTCGTCAGAATAAGTAGCTTGTACTGTCATCTGTACAAGCTTGAGGGTGTCTCGTTACACCTGGTAGCACTTCGTAGTCCGTCCAAGGACCACGTTCACATCTAACATGAATATGTTAGATGATAAAGATGACCAAAGCTTTCACGCTATGCGTGACGGCTACTCCCATTTGAGCGATGTCGAATGGGATGCGGTTGAACGAATGGGTTCAACCATGGGCATCCATGCTGTTAGCGTCATGCTAGAGGCTCTCAATAGAGATGCCCAACATGCTACTATCGCCAAGTTCATTCAAAATGAACTTGACGCCGAACGCGAGAAAGTATCCTTGCTTCACCAACAAGGTTCTCAACAAGCAGAGTTGTTGAGAGAACAGGGTGCTCAACAGTTTGAACTGTTGAGACAGCAGCAGGCTGCTGCTGGTGGGTCGATGCACTCGCGTCGACCCGAAACCTTGAAGATTGACATCTCCAAGTATAGGGGAGTCGAAGAGGACTCCCTCTTGAGATGGTTCGTCGAATTAGACGACGCCATAAGGTCTCGTCGCATCGACGACGGGGATATGCAAGTTGCATTTGCCCAGTCAAATCTGGTAGGACGCGCCAAGACTTGGGCACTGGGGCTCAAGTTGCACGACCCATATGCGTTTGGGTCGTTAGAAGTCTTCAAGTCGCGGCTCAGACAAACGTTTGAACCGCCTAGAGCTGAGTTCAGATCTCGAACTGAACTCTTGAAGCTCAAACAGGGTAAGCGTGATGTGCACGCTTACGCACGACGTATACGACATCTCACGAGTTTATAAGTTCCAACCCGGTTGATGAACACACGTTGGTTTCGGTATTCATGCAGGGTCTTGCGGATGGTCCCGTCAAGACTCACCTGTTCCGACTTGAACTAGATTCACTAGAACAAGCAATTTCCATTGCGGAACAGGAAGACTTCAGTTTGAGACAGGCTCGCGCAGCTCGACATCATAGCGTACACAGAGACGATATAACAGCGGAGGTCCAGAGCCGGTGGAACTCTGTTATGTAGAGAGCGAGAAGGATCGCTCTACAGACTACAAGAAGTTGCAGAAATGCAACAGATGTCAGAAGACAGGACACTACGCTTACGAGTGTAGTGCCCCTCGTCCAGTGTCTCGCAACACTGGGCGTAGTGACCGTCCACCCATGAGAAAGGGGCAGGGACGCGGGTCCGCTGTTGGTGCAAAGACGCAACAACGGGATAGACCGTCAAAAACCGGACAGGATCAGTAGGTGCGGAGCACCCTACTGGTCCAGCAACGTCAAGAGAATTTGTAGGCCTCTTGATGAAGGTTGCTCCCAACACACAATCATTTTGTGTTGCTGCTCTAGGTAATGAGATCTCACTCATTACCTTGAAACTCGAAGTGACGAATAAGTTGTCCCTTCGAGCTCTAGTCGATTGTGGGGCGTCCAACAATTTTGTGCAACGCCAATCGCTAGAAGATGGTCATTTTAAGTTCAGTGAATGTGACACACCTCCTACGAGGATGACGGTACGTCTTGCGACAGGCGCATCCGTAACCGTCATGAACCGTATAGTGAAGATCCACTATACGCTAGAAGATACCCAATATGACGATGACTTTATCGTATTGGATTTGGATGACAAATTTGATGTCATCCTTGGAATACCGTGGCTCAGAAGGTACGAATCATGGGTAAACTGGCAACATCGAACAGTAACGATGCCTGCCGCTTGTTCATCAGATGGCCATCTGATGAACGTTTTGGAGCGTCCACAAGCGTGTGGATGTACTACGAGTGAGTGCGATGGCCTCACTTGTGGTACGGTCGTTAGTACGACTGCACAAAACCTTAGTGTAACAAACGGTTACACTTCGGAGCAAAGTTCCGGCGGCTGTGAGGAAAGACAGGCTGCGCCGAAGGTCCACCACTCGAATAAGTAGAGTGGACCGGGACAAAGATGTATCCCTAGCGGGGAACATCGAGAAGAGAAACAATCGATCGCTCCGGTTAAGCGAAACGATAATCCTAGATCGACTGGAGAGTCTTTCGTAGAGGATCCCGCTGTGGTTGCGCAACCCCAGCTAGAGGAAGTAAAGGGAACAAGTCCCAAGATTACAAATACGGCGGGGAAATAAGTTCCCCGAAACCCGCGGTAATAAGTCCCCGAGAAGCCGAAGGAATAAGTCCTTCGAGGCCTGAGGGAATAAGTCCCCAGGAATGACAGAGACATTGAATGTCCTAGTCAATGACGGATCAAGTGTAGGCGCTTATACACTTGATCTGATTGCGCCTCCGAAGTTGACTTCGGAGATCACTCAGTTGCCAACGCTCGAATGTAAAAGGTTCTTGCGTGATTTTCGTAGTGTCAAAGTCAAGCAGATCTGCGTACTCGTCGCTGACGATGAGTGTGTAGCCGACATAAGGTCAGCAACAGTGTTCACTGAGAACGAGAGAGTTCTCAGTAGTTCATCGATGGACGAGAGTGTCCTCGATGAAAAGACACAAGTTTAGCGATATGACTCCCAATCGTGGGAATCGCTAAAGACAAATCCTCTCTATGAAGATTTGGCTGAATTCAAGGATGTATTCCCTGGAACTGTTCCGTGCGAATTACCGAAGGATAAAGTTATTCGACACGAGGTCGAGCTTAAACCAGGCTCGAAGTACTGTGTCATGAAGCAGTGGCCACTGCCTCGGGAACAAGTACTTGCGATCGACAAGTTCTTTGCCAATCGTTTAGCTGCAGGCCATGTGAGGAAGTCAACTTCCCCACATATCTCTCCAACTTTCTGTATGCGAAAAGCAACAGGAGGGTGGCGGATAGTGCATGCATTCAACAAGTTGAATGCTGCAACGGTACCGGCTCAGACGCCGATACCAAGTAAGGACGTAATCATTGATGGTATGTCAAAAGGTACCATCTTTTCGTCCATGGATTTGATGGATGGCTTCTATCAAATCGTTATGCGAGAACGGGATATACCCTATACAGCAGTGAGCACGCCTAGCGGCATGCTCTGGGAATGGCTAGTAATGCCACAAGGGCTTAGTAATTCCCCTGCCACATTCAACAGATGTGTATCAAATCTGTTGAGACCAGTACGAGAATTCGCGCCGAGCTATTTCGATGACTTGTATATCCATAGTCGGGCTATGAATGGAAAGTCGGACGTAGAGGTTCGAAGATACCACGTCCGACAGGTTCTTACAATCATGCGAAAGCATCAATTGTATGCCAACCTTAAGAAGTGTTTATTTGCAGCAAGCGAGATACCACTTTTTGGGTGCATCGTTGGTAAGAACGGAGTACGTCCTGATCCCGAAAAGATCAAGGCGATCACTGACTGGCCTGTGCCGGTTGATGTCAAAGGTCTTCGAAAATTCCTTGGGCTAGCGGCGTATTTGCATAAGTACTCACGCAATTACGCCTAGATGACTGTACACCTCTCTCGTTTGTTGAAAAAGAACGAGAGGTGGTTATGGAACGCTGAATGTCAGCGCTCCTTTGATGGCATCAAGCAGAGCTTGATACAATCCCCAGTCCTAGCAATTGCCGATCAGGACAGGCCATTTCATGTGGTCTGTGATGCCAGCGATTTCGCAATCGGCTGTGTATTAATGCAGTACGATCTTGAAGGCGTTGAACGCGTCGTCTGCTATCAGTCGCGTCGGCTGCAACCAGCTGAGCGGAACTATCCAGTGCATGACAAGGAACACCTTGTCATGAAGTATGCACTCGCGAAGTTCAGAGTCTATCAATTAGGAGATAGACCCTTCATTGTTTACACTGACCATGCGTCGTTACGCACGGCAGTGAACAGCCCGCATCTTTCACAACGAATGGCGCGGTGGTTGTCATTCTTTGCAGAATACAACTCTACGGTAGAGTACAAACCAGGACGACTAAATGTCGTCGCTGATGCACTCTCACGTCGTACCGACTTTGAACCAGTCGTGAAACCCAACAGTGAGACAGCCACTGTTGCGGTTATGACGTCCTCAGTACCATCTTCAACGTTGCATGATGATGTGAGGCGGGCGTATGGCCAAGATGGTGAGATTGTGAAGTTGTTGACACATCTCTCACAGCCATCTCGAGAATCGTTGAAACGATTATCGTCTGCGTATCGATCTGATGCCGTTGCACTACTCGCAACGGTTTACTGTATTATACAGCCGTTTCTGGTGACACACCACGTGTTGTCATCCCAGATGATACTGATCTACGTTTGCGGATCATGTTCGAGTATCACGATGCTCCTATAGGAGGACATCGTGGCCGTGATAACATGTCTCACGGTGAGTCGAGACTTTTACTGGCCCCGCCAGTATCAGTTTGTGCGAAAGTATGTTCGCGCATGCGAAGTCTGTGAACGCGCGAAGTCAATTCCTTCACTGCGTGCACCTTTACAGCCTATTCCAGTTCCGACAGAGTGCTGGGAATCCTTTTCAACGGATTTTGTCTTCGGGTTACCCAAAGACGCACGCGGGAATACGGGTATTCTTGTATTTGTTGACAGATTCAGCAAAATGGTACACCTTGTGGCTGTACCAGAGTCAATCACAGCAAGTGGCTGTGCTTGTGTCTTTATCGACACCATCTTCCGACTTCATGGGTTACCCCGTGAACTCGTATCAGACAAAGATCCACGCTTCACTGCTGATTTCTGGCGCTCCGTGTTCAAATCATTCGGAACGCGCTTGAAGATGTCGACATCTGATCATCCAGAGTCAGATGGTCAGACGGAACGAGCCAATCGTGTCCTCAAAGAGATACTTCGGGGATACGTACACTCCTTTAAGAGTTGGGGTGAGTTCTTGCCAATGGTAGAGTTTGCCATTAACAACTCGGCGCATGCGTCCACGACACATACACCGTTTTACGTGAATGGCTTGCGCCATCCGCGTGTACCCACCTTACTCGAGTGTAACTCTGGTTTAAGGGGGGGGGAGAATCGCGCGAGCAAAAACCGATTTGGTTCACGCTCATCATGCTCTGACGAAGAGGTCATTGCGTTTGATGCCGATATCGATAACATCGATATCGAAGAAGATGATGCCAGTGGGAGTGCGGAAGCCCTCACTAAAGAAAAGATTGATGTTGCTGCAGTGCATTCACAGCGCACTGAAGCTAACGAGTCATCAGATGAGTTCACACTGGCTCGTGAAACGATAGTCCGTTTTGTGCAAGACTCCATCGCCGAAGCGGTGGATAAGCAAAATCAAAAAGCTGACAAGAATGGAAGGGCAAACACTCTTTCATTTAATAAAGGTGACTTAGTCCTACTGTCTACGGTCAACCTACCAAAGCACGTAGTGACTAACTTGGGTAGCAGTAAACTTCTACCCAAGTGCATCGGCCCATTTCGTGTATTGCATCGCCTAGGCAATGCATACACGATCGAGTTGCCACGTAAGATGCGAACGCACCCCACGTTTTACGTTGGTCGGCTTAAGCCGTACCATCAGTACGCTGCTTCTTCCGATGAAGAACGTCCTTGCGCTCAAGCAACTCGCAGAGAGCCTTGTGCTCCCGATGGTGGGCATCGACAAGGGTCTGAAGAGCAGCTATCTCATCCCGAGACCGATCAACATTCCCACGAGCTACCCTTAGCTCGTCACGCAGAGACGTCAGAGCTCTCTCGTTCTCAAGCTGAGCAAAGGCAACTCATCTCGATGCTTCGAGACAGTGTCCGCCATTTGGAGACGCCTATTCCGCTCATGTTCGAGATCGCCGCGTAACCCTTGCGTTACGCGATCAAAGAAGCTCTTGGGAACACACGCTTCCCCACGATAGTTTGGAGAGCGTTTTCCCTCCTCCTCAACCTCCATTGGAGGACTCTCGCGGTGGCCAGTGCTATCTCGTTGAGCAGCTGTTGAACCACCGCGACGTGAACAGACGTCGGACGAGCTATCTCGTCCGGTGGCGCGGCTATCCCCCGTCCTGGGATACTTGGGAGCCCCGCTCCCAACTGATGATTGACGTACTGGGTCTGGTTGAGCAGTACGACGCGGCACATCCTGTGCCGCAGAAGGACCGCCGGAGAAAGTCTTCCCGGCACGGTCGTAAAGGGATTTCAGGTTGTCAATCCCTTCGTACATCTCAGTAGAGATACGTACGCGCCACCACGGGCTGGTAAGGAGGTAAGCCTCCTTAGGTGCTCGTGCAGAGTTGTTCACACAACATGGGCACGAGTCTCCCATGAGAGGCAGGGTAATCCTTTCTCCCTTGACAGACGATGCAGCTTGTAGCGTGCACCTGTCGGGGTTCGTTTTCAAACTCATCACGAGCTTTGATAAGTTTGTCGTTCCAAACGTCACGACCTAAATCCTCAAGGTTATGGATGTAAGCGTTCCACGCTTGAAGCAGTGAGGGACCATCATGTTTGTGATTCCCACTGTATTATCGATGTTTAAATAGAGCATCGATGAAGAACTCATGTTCAGTGCGATAGTTTTTCGCACTGGGGTCAAGGTGATGGATCCTTGACGAATCGAACAACCGTGTTCGATAACGATCACTCGTCGTTGCCGATAAGTGATCCATGACGGATTTTGGAGGCATCCATGCCTTCTTCTCGGGAGCGAGACGCAACACGCTGCGGTCCCGCTCTTCCTGCGACGTGCCGACAGAAGTACTGGTACCTCGCTGCGAAGGGGTGTCAATAGAAGAACCGACACCACTGTTAGCGCCCGAGTCTTGCGATCTCGAGCGCCTACGCTTTGGCGATGGTTCATCTGATTCGTCAGATGAACCAAAGATGCTACGACGCATAGCATCATCCATGCCACGCTTGGCAGGCGGCTTAGATTCGATCGCCGTCGATACGGATCCGTCTTCCGTATCAGGACAGTATGAGACACCGCGCTCATACTCTGTGAAGACGTGAGTGTCTTCATGACGAGCGCCTGCAAAAACAGGTGACACAGGCTGAGTCGCTTCAGCAACCGATGATACATCAGTTGCTGCGGTTTCTGCTTCGGCGTCCGCACAGAGACGTGCGGACGCGCTCTCGGCGGTCTTGCTCGCGCACCGCATGGGCTTGTTAACCATGCGATGAACTGTTGGAAAGTGGTCTCGTACCAACAAGTGCAAACCCTGTCCCAAATGATTTGGGACGAGTATCCATTTAGTCATTCAGTCACTAGAGTGACTGATGGTTAAGGGGGGTGATGTAACGGGATGAATCGTTACATAACAATTTATAAGAAATTGTTAATAGAATATAACTATAAGAGTTATATTCACAGAATATTGTCATGAGGACGAATATTCTGCAGCAGTTACGAGTAGTTCCTAATTGGTTGATATAGGCCATTATATTAACCAACGAAGACGCGCCACGACAGACGCACGCAATGAGTGGTGAGCAGATAGTTGATATACACATTTGTATTCAGACATAGTTAGATGAGGATAAACAGTGGTTTATTAACAGGCATTAACTATTATAAATACAGTTCTACTTTTTACTTTAGCCAAGTACTCGCTTCTTCTTACCTTCTTCCTCTGCACGTACGAGTGTTCGTGAAATTCCAAGGCAACGCCTTATTCTGTCGTCAGAATAAGTAGCTTGTACTGTCATCTGTACAAGCTTGAGGGTGCCCCGTTACAAGTTTGCTCATTCACTGAATAATTGATATCTTTTTAAAAGGTATAGATTTGACCCGAATAAGGTTTAGATTCGACCCGACATCATAGAGCTGCATCTTCTATAATTTTGAGTGAAGCCGATTAGAGGACACAAAAGCAGCACTCATTGCGCGTATTGTGTAATCAATATCGAAAGACCCTCTTCATTCCTTTTACTCTTGCTTAGAATTTTAATATGTAACGGGATTCGACCCATCCTTTGTTCTAAATCCTGATAAAAGTGTCCTGTATAAAATTGATTGAGTTATTGAGCTTTAATACTTTGTCACACGACGTAGTGGATCTTGCCTAAGGAGCAACGTTATATCACGGATGACTTCTTCCGTGTTAAGAACGAGATAGGAATGGTACGAAAGCTATTAACCCCAAATTCGACACCGACACGTTATGTTAAAAAGCCGTACGGCAAGTAGCGCATTGTCCAGGCCTATATAAAGCTTAATTTGGCAACTATTCTGGCACGGACGACAACCTCGATTTTTTTTCTTTTGAACAAAATGGTTGTGTATACCATGCAAAGTCAACTCGACTGATTAGATGGATATTGCCAATCGCTCTTGCGAGCAAGTTTTTTTTTTTGACAGCCATGGGCACTCCGAGTGGTATGTATTGAAATGGCTGGTGTTGTCACAATGACTGTCTGATGCTTCGGCATGTTTATTCTTTTGGTGAGACAGCTTTTTGTCTTCATGGAGATTATGCACTGAAATACTCAGGCGACTTTTTGTCCATAGTCGTGCCGTGCACGGTCGGTAAGATGTTAATAAAATTACATCGGTCATTTGCGAGCCGTGCACGAGTTCATCCACACAAATAATTTATACGACAACGTGTATAAATGCATCTCTGATGCCGTATAAGTCCCTTTAATAGGACGTTTCATTTATCAGCGCGGCTTCAGGGCAGATCCTTCTATGGTCAAGGCTTATAGTGGACAGGCCGATTCCTAAGAATTGAAAGCACTTGCGTAAGTGGCTTGTCCTTGCCAATTACTTACACAATAAGAGCAATAATTGCGCTGACATGTGTAAGGTATTAACTATCATACATCGAAAGACACAAATTGGCGCTGATACATCACCTATGCTGACGCAGTTCGATCAATAAAGAAGAGTCGTCACCATGCTCCTATTTTCGCGTTGCCAAATCCTGATTGCTCTTCTAGTGCTGTCTGCAATGCAGTCTACTTTGCTAAAGGCAGCGCCCTGTTTCAATTACATGCTTCAGGCCGCGAGCGAGTTATCGCATTTAAATCTTGTCAGCTCAAAGCTGCTGAAAAGAACTCTTCATTTGTGACAAAGAGCTATTTGCTACGCAGTATGCGCTCGTCAAATTCAGGTTCAATTTACTGGTCTCCAAGTTATTCGACGTTTACACAGATCATGCGTCACTAATCACGGCGACACATTCGCCTCACCTCTCTTAGAAAATGGGTCGGCGTATTTCCTTCATTGCGTAATATAATTATTAGGGTAAAGTATAAGCCAGACAAAAAAATGTGCTGGCGGACGCCCTCTCTCGTCGACCTTATTATATGCTTACTCATGTCAGAAATTTGTTGTCTTCTATTGAGGAGATCATTCGTGTGACCTATCCACGGAATCCTTAACTTTATTGTCTCACGCCCTTGGAAGTGAGGAATACAACGACAAGGACAGTCAGTTATCGGTACGCTTGCGGTTCAACCTGCATCCATCTTCCATCGATAATGGCCTCTTGTGCTATCGCACCAACGTAGAGGATACAGCTTGCATATTTGTGCTTCATGGTGAGTATTCAAAGTACTTATTGCTTGCTGAGTCCCACGATACTGCCCTCAGTGGGAAATTATGCCGAAAAAAAACTCAAGGCTCTATAAGTCGACATTGCTAATAGCCCAACCTCTTCAAATGGGTGGGAATAGCGTGAGTACATGCACAACGTGCCAGCGAGTAAAATTCTCGGGACATTACGGCTTCGCCAATCCTCAGTTACATGTTTTACATGCGCCCACGAAAGTTGGTAGTATATCAGCATGGAATTTGTGTTTGGTCTTCCCAAAAAATATGAAGGCAATAACGGATTATGGTCATTGTTAACCGTTAAAGTAAGAGGGTTTACGTATCGGTGGCGCCGAATTTTACTTAAGGAAAAAGTTACAGCTATACATTTACCGATTGTGTATTTTGTCAACACGGGTTGCCGCTCGCAATCATCTCTAATCACGACCCTTGCTTCACAGGCAAATATGAACTTCCATCGTCAAGATGCTTCGCACGCGATTGGGACATGTCCACAGCAGATCGCAGACCGTTGGTAGAGTGAGCGATTATATCCCACCCTTAACGAAGCTCTTCGCAGTGTTTTTGCTGATTCACCTAAGTCTTTAAGCCCGATGTTTCTTGTCATGAAGTTTGCACTGAAAAAAGCTACTCGTGCCTCGGTCTCTTTAACTATCTTCGTTCTGATGAGCCTAACGCACCACCGCGTTCCCCTCACGTTGCCAACTAGGTTCTGGGCTTGATGGGATAGAGTCTGCAATTCTGCTGAAATTAGCCCTACCACGATGCAGAAACAAGTGAATGAGTTTCTCGCGACGCGATTTAGTGTCTTACGACATGTGCGTGATGCAGTGACTGGTATCCAAGAAACATGTTAAAACAAGCTGGTGCTAAGGCAGCGGATGTACTGATGCTTATGACGTTGTAGACAAAGCATTACTTCACACCAAAACCTAAATTTAGAATGTAGTGTCTGCTGTCTTCAAGAAAAGAACCGCGTTCGCGCTTCATTAGGCCGTTTACGGTGATAGCAAAAATGGACTTCCTCATAAACTTAAATGTTTGCGAAAGTTGCGCTCACGCCATGTGTCTTACGTCGGCTTGCTTGATGCATATCATGTTCCTCATCTCGCGGATTGGAAGGCGCTCGCGCCTGAGGGTGGGACGTCTGCCCCACTAAATGAATCGTTGCTGAAATTTAGTTCTGGTCATCCAGTAGTAGCAGGTTGTACTCCAACTTCCGCATTCGCTTGCCTACCAATTTTATCAAAAAGAGACGGTTCACATGCTTATACAACTGAGCTAATGACCCAACTCAGTCAATGACTGTTTAAAAGCACATTGTGGATGGTCAAGGTTCCCCCGAGTTGCTTCCTCTCCGTCATAGTGCCTTATGTAGAAGAGCAAATACTCGCGGAGTCGCTTCACTTCTGACACTAAATCTTCATGAGCCTGTGCTGACTCATTGACCCCTTTCCTGCGTTGCTCGACCAGAAAGGGAACGTTAAGTTATAAGTGGAAAAGCTCTTATAGCGACTTGGCCACAAAGGTTGATGCTAGTATCTGCTGGAGTGACTTAAATTTGATAAGATATACAACTCAAGGAGCTTGAGTTACCATTCGGCAAAATTGCGCTTACACCTATAATTTTCATAGCGTCGCGCTGAGAACCAGCTTGCTTTTTAACGCGCTTCCTACAAATAGGTGTGGGTGTGTAGGGCTCGATCATTAACGTCGAGTGACCCACGACTGTCTGCAAAGTACAAATAGTGGTGGTTGAACCAGCAGCTGATTTTTGCGTACTGCGTGCAATACAGAGAGCGTAGTAAAGTTTGGGCCTTTGTATTAGCAAACTTATTGCGCAACTTGCGCTCTAGACGAGCTTCGGCTTTGGAGGCACTAGCTCAAATGACACCCATGCTCGGTAATTGACGTGCCCTCTGTGCCTATGAGTTAACGTGCTGTCATCCTCAGCCTCACTCTCATCTGGGTAAAAAGCATCCGGGATTGTTCTTTGCGTCGGTACAGAGGCGTTGTGTGCTTTATCCGTCAACTTAATTTGAAATTTAAGATCGTCTTCGGTCTCTTCGAGCGTCAAGTATTTCTCTCTTAAAGCATTTCATTCGGCAATGTCTTCAGACTTCGTAGCCTTGTACCTGTGGTAAAAGTATTCAAGGACTGTCCCGCGAACTTTTATAACAGCTCATTGACTTTCAAAATCTCGAAACGATTGTTTGGGTGTGTTTCGGCAATAGCTAATGTCTGAGGTGGAATTCTATCCCTCTTAACTCTCGTTGAAAAGCGTTACTAATTCTCATCGAGCTTGTTGGTAATGATTTATCATCAAGAGTGGTTGAGGCACGTAAAGATGTTAGGACTTGAGCCGTGCTCCGTTCCAGAAATGGGTTTGGCGCTATGCACAAAGGTTCGCACGACGCTAACGTGGCAGATTCACGGGTTCACCCTCTTCAAAGACGTTGTTGCTGTTTTAATAACGATGTTCTCTTCTCGTATAAGGAATTCCAAAACTCTAAGGAATGCGAAGACTTCGCCACTGATGCACAAGGTGTTGTGTCACAACCGTGAGAATGTTTGTTCTCCATAAGCTATCTCAAGGACAAAAAGGTGAAGCATGTCGATACAAGGATATCGACCGTTTGGTGATGTAGGGTGCAACGGGGCTACACAGAAGGTTGTGATACCCAGAAGCATCAATTTATCACACTCTGGAAGAGATCATAATCAATGGTCAGGCATACTTTTTGTCACACACGCTGACGATGTACCGAACCCTATCAATTATGGCTAGATGATTCGATTGAAATAGGGTCTTTAAAAGGGACCTTAATTATGGTGTGGCACACAAGAAGAACTACTACGAGGAGCATTCAATTAGGTAGCAATGTTTTAAGATTAAAGGCGTAGGTATAGTTAACTATTGTATAAATCAGTAAATATATTCATTTTCCATTTTAATTAGTTTTAGATTCTCGTTTTTCCGAGACATCTATGGTCGTAAGATTGAAGTGCCTGAGTTGAGGCTAAGTACTCTTGTGCATTGGTTCCACGTGATGCCTTGGAGTCGAAGTCCCCTAAACCAGGAATGGAAGCTTACGAGCTTGATAATTCACTTAAATTTAAGTCTGACTATGTATCTAAAAGTTGAAATCCTTACAGTTTTTACCTGTTCAGTTTGGTGTGTTACTAGAATCTACGAGTCGAGAAATCTTCCTCGTGCATGAAGGACTACCCAAGTCAAGCAATGCGGCTTATTTACGCTGATTCACCGTCTTCTGTCCATGGAGCAGGCATAGGTTCTATATGTGCATACTCTCTTGGATGCAAACTAGACCTGATGCGGCCGTTTGATGGATTAAGTATTATTTGACGCTACAATGCTTGTTGATTGTACCCATTATTTTTGTACCATTATCCGTGACTCGAGCTCTATAAGTTGTCGGCTACATATGTTAAAATGGTCGAGCTGCTTCTCAGCATTTTCCTGCAAAAATTAAAATTGATATCTTAGGCACCATAGCGATTTATGCCGAACGGTTCGTATTCCGTAAAGTGCGGTCGTATCAAATGCTTGGCCCCTTGCTGTACAGTCAATTGCTGTGATTTGCTGAGACGCTGCCGTACTTAATGCGATATTTTTTTTTGTTCATGAATTGTCGGTTGGAACGCCAATTGGTAGGTCAATTCTGAGCTGTACGAGTATGAACATCGATCAGTCAATGCCTGCATCGTTGTCCCATTGGATGCTCACCTGTGACCACACCCGTGTTTACTTGCTCTCTCACTCTTTCTCGGGATAGTGGATTCTGTGCCTGCAATGTAAATGGCGGTCACTATTGTTCTTATTAATTGATGCTATTAGTTTTCCCTTTCTTCGTTGGTAGTCTGTCTTTTAGATTTACTAATTGTTTTGTGACACTTAACTACGTGACAAATAAGGTGGCGCCCGCCGGCGCATCCGACTTATTGCAAATGTGGGTGACTGTCGGCTTGTGAAGATGTATCGCATTGAACCTGTTTTATTAATATAAACCTCGATACTTGTTAGATAGACTATTATTATAAAGGTTGATAATGTTCGTGAATATTACCATGATGCATTATTATCAGAAACATTCATCGATCGGCTGATGTGCGTCATCATATCAGCTAATTATAGCGGTTTAATCAACGATGGACGCGCGCGATGAAATGTGAGCAAGACTTTAGCATACATTTTTGCAGATAAACGTAATTAAGTTAGGACTAACATAGGTCAATGATTACGACTTAATTATAGTTAATTAAGTTATTACTAAATCCTAATAGACAGCTGCTAGTTAATTTTCCTTCCTCTGCGTAGTTAATTGAGCTAGCGAGGCATCGACTACAGCTGCTGCCGGTGAGATTAGCTCTACGCTGGTTGTCCAGTATGTTGCTTTATTACCCTGTTACAGGAGACGTGAGTGCACCTGTGTGACCGACTTTATTTGTGGAATAGAGGTGAAGCATGTTATGGTGCTTTGTTACGTCAAAATGGTGCAAATCAGCTTATATGATACCGAGGATGCTGTGCGAACAAGTGCATTGAGGACTTTGCCTTTGTCTGTGGGTAAAGCGGAGCTACTTAGCGCTCCTTTACAGAGGAAGTTTTTGACTCGAAGAGTCTTAGTCATAAAAACTAACAACGAAGTACAGTCTCAAGCGTGCAAGCTTAACAATTCCGGGTCTAAAAGGATTACGATTCACAGACTCACGCACTAACCAGTCTATAGTAGTTAAACAAGAGTTAGCGCCTTTTTAAGGCCATGACTCTTGACAACATACTACGCCTTGACTAGGCACTAGCGTCCAACGATTCAAAATGAGCTGAACTTTGTTTATCTTTTAACTACGGTAGTAAAGCCATAAAGCCTTGTCTGACTGAATTCTACATTGCGATCCTATGACAGAAGTCTGATTCCTTATCCTTACACGATAGGGTGCGGTATTACCGTAAACGCATGGTACCAAGCATGTACCGCTCAGATCCACCGATCTTTACTTGGTGTGGACACGCAACATGACTGGCTCAGATAAACGCCGTGTAACCCCGTTACAATGGGCCTGCCCAAATCAATTGCCTATCCACCTTTTCCTTGCAATTATTGCACATAAAATTGCTCTTTTACTTTTGCTGGAACGGAAACCAAAGCTTGACAGCATGGTTAAGCTGTGCAAACATGACTACTGTGCTGCGCTTTGAGGTCTATAAAAGCTTTGGTCCTTGACCATTGTGTTCACAACACATCTCAATATGGCTGAGTCAGAGCCTTCGACAAAAACCCTGGAAGAATTCATCTAAGAGAGTTGGGTGAACTATGAGAGTTTTTCCGCCTCGTCAAGTGTATACGACCATCCCTTAGCTACGCCACCGGCGCGTGACACCGCGCGCATCGCACCTAATCCATTCGTGGAAAACGAGGAGGTTCCTTCACTTCTTGGACAGCGTGCAGCCGTCGACCCTGTGTTGGGTGTGTTGCGCAACAACCTTTGGTGAAGATCAAGCTCAATATCTTCTGTCGGTCGATAACCGCAGTCTTCAAGCACAGAATGTAGCCACAGATCGTGTTCACACTAGTTACCGCTTCACACAATAAAGTTTGGATAAATGCATTCTTTAGACCTCCGGGCAGTCACTCGCAACCGCCGCAGTCTTCAAGCACAGAATGTAGCCACAGATCGTGTTCACAATAGTTACCGCTTCACACAATAAAGTGTGGATGAATGCATTCTTTAGACCTCCGGGCAGTCACTCCCAACTTGGATCGCGGGACTTAAGGCGGTCACAGCCACAGCACTAGCGGAAAGAGGGGGCGCTTAAAGAGATATAATAGAAGGCTGACCGTATGACCGCTCAAGAGTAAATTGACTAGCTGAATCTACATGCAAAAGGTGCATCAGTGTCCGACACGCGAACAGTACCCGTCTTGATCTTTCCTGGTGAGACACAGGCTACAAATAAAGTCGTCGTCACGCGTTGAGCTCACCGAGTTTGCCGTATGCCATGACTTTTAAGCCTCCAAGAGAGCGCTTTACTTGCCGGAGTTCGGCTAGAACAAAAATGCGCTTTGATTTCGCAAAAAAAAGCCAAAGGCAAACTGCGATCGTTTTATCGCACCCGTTATGCTGCAGCAGCTACGGACTTGCGCACCAGCGCAGCTGCTGCCGCTGCAACCCTCTCCACTCCCACATCAACTAGTGGGAAGTGGAATGAGTCAACCGAACCTGAAGACAACGTTCAAAAACGTCAACGGCATCCGGAGAATCCTGCCGCAGTGGCACTTCGCACTACCATGAGTTCTCCGACTCCGGGTACCCTCGCCACTGTATCAAGTACTGGTACTGACCCTCGCGACGACGTTGCTGCAGGAGACATTAAACATGATGCCGGTGATCGCCTCGATCGTCATGGAGATAAGGCGGAAGTTGGTGAATCTCGACGTTGACGACTTGGTGCACGAGGTGCACGGTCTACGTTACCGAGTGTTGCGTCTTGAAATCAGCCGGAACTTTCTTGAAGATTCCTCGACTTGTGGCATCAAGGACTACTTCGGCGTAAGTGCTCCGTTATTCACCCGCGATGGATAAAGCAAGGCTTAGGCAAGCTAACTTAAGACACTAGGTGTGTTCGCAGGCCGCGTGGGAGGTTGAGCGTAAAGGCTAGGCCTTGCTTGGCCACAGCTATAAACGGCCCAACGAAGTAAGGACGCAACTTGGTCTCATAGACTGCTGAAAACGCCTTGAGAGTAGATGCCAGGCGTTTGGTAAGACTAAGTCCTTAACTTCATAAGCCTCAATACACTTTTTGCCTTTGACATCAGCTTTTTCCTTTTGTTCGTCCTGACTAGCAGCCATTCAATGATGCACATGTCGTAAGACACTCATTTTCGTAGCAAGATACTCGCTCAAGTGTTTAATGAATAGCAGTTGGGCTGACATCAGCAAGCTGGTCGGCATTCATCTCCTACCAAATCTATAGCGTCGTAGTGGAAGCGTTAACGGAACGCTAGGGTGACTGAGCGATTCATGTAGAATGGTGTAAATCCCGTAGAGGCATGATCAGCGTTGCTTAACGCAAATCGACCGCCGGGAGCAAAGCTCTTTAACGCTTAGGCGTTCCAGCACAAATGCTGCACAAAATTTCACCACTCGTACGGTATATACGCTTAATTTGACCATCGATCTGCGGATGATTCGCTTTGGACATGTGCAACCTGGTGTCCAGCACCTTGAAGATGTAAGTCCAAAATTTACCAGTGAAACGTGGATCAGTGGATTACGGTCAGAGACAATTGCGACAAGCAAACTTTGTTGACGAAACACACGGTCGATTAACAATTTTGCTGTACTTTTACCATCGATGGAATTGAGAGTCAATTAGTATGGATTTTGTGTCTGGCCTACCGAAGGATTCGGACGACAATGCCAGTGTTGCCGTCCGAATCCTTCGGTAGGCCAGACACAAAATCTATACTAATGGACTCTCAACACTCAGTGGATACTGGCGAAGTGTTTAGTAAAGCAACCGCATGTGCTGAGATTTGACCCGTTAATCCGTTTCGCACGTACGCACATATGTGATCACCCATTTTTACAACTTGGACCACCAAAACGTCCAGCTAACTGGTCTATAGGTCTTCTCACGACAAATATAACTGCTCAAAGAATTGGCATGTGCCTCACAGAGAATGCATTACTTCAATTCTTCATCATAAGACACAACGTTGCGAGGAACATCCTCAACACAAGTGATATAGCACAACAACCCACCATCGACGACATATCGATGTAGGCTCGTACGTGCCGAAAATTTGATGTTCGAGTCTTTTAAGTCCTCGCTTCCAAGAACATGTAGTAATGCTACACATTGATCATCACGTACATATGTCGCACGAACTAAGATCTACAATGGATGACGACAGAGTTGTAACATGAGCAAAATTATCATCACGTCTGCATTACAATGCGTCCGTCAAAGCGTTTTGCTAGCCCGGCTTATGCTTCACCTGGAAGTTGTATTTATTAAAAAAATAAAAGCCAACTGGCCATACGATAGGAGAGGTGAGTCGAATGTGTCGCAGTGGCGTATCGACGCATGATCTTTTAAGATCAAATAAGGCTATTTTCCATCTAAGTAAATGGACTCATAATTTAAAAAGAGCATATTTCAATGCGAGTAGCTCTTTATCGTGAACTAGATAGTTCTTCTCTGCAGCCTTAAGCTGAAGAGAATCATACGCAATGAAGCGTTCATGTCCATCGAAATCTGTCTGCAATAATGCACAACCAATAGCACAATCATACACGTCAGAGACGACACTGAAAGGCCGCTCAGGGTCAGGTAAAGTTAACATTGGAGCATGAAGGGTACTGTTCATCACAGCATCAAAGTTTGAGCATGAAATGCGTCCCAAAAACAAACTACATCCTTCTTGAGGAGGTTGCTGAATAGCCTTGCCATATCAGCGTATTTTGTATTGTACTTGTGCGAGCGATTAGCAAGGCCGAGCTATTAATGCAAGTACTCACGGTGTCGACTGAACCGGCCAGTGAACAATTGACTTTTTAGCGGGAACCGCCTGAAGACCACGCTTCTTAAAATAGCACCCTAGAAAGAGAATTTTTGCCGCACCAAAAATGCATTTTGCTAGATTTGCATATAGCTTGTTTTGGCGCATGCACTCGTGCAATGCTCGTAAATGGTCAATGCGATTATCCACATCTGATCTTTCATTTTCTGCACAGCTATGGACAAAGACGTCATTAATATAGCTTTGTGCATATCCTCGGTGAGGTCGAAACAAATGCGTCACAAGACTATTAAATGTAGCCGGGGCATTAGACAGCTCTTGAGGCATGGCAAGCCACTTACAAAGCATATCAATTGGACTACTAACCACTGTGAGAGGAATATAATTTGCTAGCGTAAGCAATTAAATAGACTCATCGACTGAATCGAGTGATTTGAGCATGGTAACCTACCCTAGCGTTCTAAAGAAAATTTTTTATAGGAGTAGGTGTTGATGCCGGTACAATGGATGCGTTAAGCCTTTGTGAACATGAAAAATACGCCACTTGCCATTTGGCTTTCTAACACAAAGTCTTGGTGTCGAGTGCGGATACTCGTTCTCCCGCAACATGCGTTCGCCTTGATCAGGAGGCAGAGTGGAAGGTGGATCGTAACACACCACATCTTGAAAGCCTTAACCAAAGTATAAGGGTCATTAGGATATTTCAAGATCGATGACCCACTTGTAGCACTCAGTGCCGCTTTTGTGTCTTCCAAGACAGCTTCATCAGGAAGTGACGACGAGTCCATATCACTATCGGATCTTATAACCACCACTTCAGATAGTCACCTGAATTAAAGGTCAGGTCAAGCTTATTGACATAGATTAGTCACCTGAATTTAAGGTCAGGCCCAACTTATCGGCAGACCCATTTGTCTAGCTCTAACAGAGAATTCAGTGACGGTAGAGTCTCAAGACTCACAGACCCATCTACGTCACCAGTCACCCTTAACGAGTGTATAGACTTTCTCGCTAGTATCGCTCAGTGAAGTGACAGAGGCCTGTTATTGGATACAATCACTCTGGCGTCACTGTAGTCTCTGTGACAAGACTTAATGTCTCAAAGAGACTGGAACTTTCTTGTTACCAAGATTGATATTATCACCATCCTTAACTTGCTCTGTACAAGAGCCGGTGTCATTGCCGACACCCGGGAGGACATCAATGTCCCCAAGATTGACATCACCGTCAACCTTAAGTTTTTCATCACCAGAGCGGATATCATGCCTGACATCCGATATCGCCCCCAAGGTGACGGAGTACTTCAACCTTAACTTGCCCAATACCAGGGACAATGGCATTACCGAAATCTGGTACGACACTGTCCTCAGGGGACGAAATGCGTCAATTTAATTTGCACAATAGCAGGACTGATGTCATAGCCGACATCTGGGACTGCACTGTCCTCAAGGTGACGAAATGCTTCAACCCTAATTTGATCTTTTTCCGATCCGATGTCACCACTGAAATCTGGTGATGAGTCACTTCCAGTGAGATCACCACCCAGTAGGTAATTACGTGCCACTCCACGCTCATCTGATGGGCGTTGTCCTTGATGACTTGATATTTCAACAACAATGTATTGACTGACATTCAGTGTGTCGCAGTTACGGTCAACATCACTCAGTTGGTACTTCCGTGCCACTCCATGCTGACCAGATGGGTTCAACATGATGACTTGACTCTAGGCTAACAATGCATTTTAGCATTTAGTGATTCAAATCACAAAGATTATCACTCATCGGATTTAGTGCCGTGTAAGAAACAGTAATTGAGATTGGTTAGTAACCAAAGTTTTTAACATCGTCCAAATCAACGAGTAAAGCCATACCTATGTCCAGCACACTGACCATCTCAGTCCGTGGCTGGCGCCAACAGCGTTTCTGTTTCCTAGCAGAGGTGGGCTCATGACTCTCCAAAGCTCCACTAGGAACATTGCGGGTAGCGCCTAAGGTTGTTGACCTGCAATTAATCCATGGCTTCTGGCGTTCTGTCCAAGCCATATCCAGAATGAGATCATACCTCTCTTCCAAGTCAAGGACTAGACAACGTTTAATACTGTCAAAGTACGAAAACTTCACGCCTGAGTTTACAGAAACCTTTGGGCAAAGTGAATAACGTACCTGTCGCCAAGCGAACATTGAAAATCTATTTTTTGGCGCTTTTAGCGCCTCAGATGCTGCTGACTTACTTCCAGGGAACAACGTCGTACGTAATTTTTCGACGCCCCGAAGTCGATCAATATCGACCATGGCTTACCAAGGCCCTTAACTTTTGTGGCCGCAATTAAGAAGCCTGGATTGTGTGCATGAATCGTTACATTAAGCTCGAAGTCACTAGAAACTAGGCCCTGTTCTCTGTCACCTCCTAGAGGTACAACAAAGTCTAAATTTTCCCAAGCAGGTCGCCCCACGTCTACTGGGGGTCCGACGTGTTCTCGCACTTTACCGAATCGTTGGTTAGCGATGAGTAAATAGCTCGAACGAGTCTGTTTGGCCCTCTCAAAGGACGGTTAAGACGAAGATGTTTGACGCTACCGCACGTAAAATAGCTACAGATGTTCGAACGCTGTTCGACGGTGTAAAGCTCAGCTTCTTCGTCTCTCTTAGAGAGACTAAAATTAATAGGCTCTTTCCTATTTATGAGATGAGCATTGCTCGATGAGTTTGCTTGGAACAAACGAGTTCAGTAGAGGGCAGCTTTCAAGTTTAATTGTGCGTTTAACGCTATGCCCACTAAACTCTCAAATGTCGAGGGTCGTGCACGAAGCACTTCTGCTCTGTAAACACCAGTGCGAGACCCTCCGTGATTATTATTACCAAAACTTTCTCAGGTAAAGGTTCTAGTTGCATAGCAGCAATGAAAGTAGGCAACTCCTGGACATAATTGACTAAGTCCTTTTTACCCTGGCAAATTGACAGGAAGCGTAATCGCACATGATTTGCTTGAATAGGCGAAGCAAATACCTGATTTAGCTGTTGTTTTAGCTTGTCCCTGGTAAAAAAAAAAAGTCTATCGATTTGCCAGAAGTGAAGGCCCACTCCATGGCTCGCCTACCAATTTATAAAAGGACCAGACCCACCTTTCGCTGCTT